ATTAAACTTTCACGAAGATCGGCCGAATATAGTCGAAACTGATATTTTAGATATAGCTGTAGACGTTGTACACTTTCAGCTAGACGAGAACAGAAAACTATACTTTGTAGTTTACTATTCCGAGAAACACTCGCTAACTGAGTAGAACTACAACATTTATGAGAAAGAACTTATAGCTATAGTCAAAGCTCTGAAGTACTAGAAGATATATCTCCAAAGTGTAAAGTTTCTAATTACTATATATACTGACTACGCGAATCTCAGAACTTTTATAACTACTAAAGTCTTAGATAATCGACGAATAGTACGATAAATAGAGGAACTCTCTCAGTTTGATTTGAGAATCAAATATATCAAGGGAATTGACAACCCTAGAGCTGACGTACTGAGTAAGTAGTTTGGGTACGAAGGAGACAAAGTCTACAAGAAAGTAGCTATCTTTCGGGAAAATAAAGACAGGAATCTCATTCTTAATACGAAGGAGATCGCCGCCTTCAGTAGAACTAAAGAACTATAGGATGATGAGATTATCTAAGTTTAAGGGAAAGGTTTAGAACACGCAGACTATATTAATAGGAAATTACGAGTTCTAGATATATTCGCAAAGGAATTTATCCTCAAGTACTATATAGTACTAGCTTATAGATATCAAAGAATCAGTAGGACTTTTTAGCGAATAAAATAACACTATTATATTGACAAAATTAACACTTTAGTCAAACAAGTAGTAGGAGAGTACGACATTTACATTCGTAATAAGAGTATATAATATATACTATACAGAAAAATAGGAACTACTTTTATTCCGGAATAACTATAGAAGTTAATCTAGTAAAACTTTATTGTTAAACTCCCGCTTTCCAAAGATCCAATGACAGGAGTAATATACGACTTAATCTTAGTTATTATTAAATAGTTTACAAAATATATAATCGTTATTCTATATTTGGAATCTAGTATAGCCGAAGAACTTGCGTTCGCTTTCTTGCAAGAAGTTGTAGCAAGATATAAGATGTTAGAAAAGATTATCTCTGATCGAGATAAGTTCTTTATATCTAAGTTTTAGACTACTTTAACTACTTACTTAGAAGTTAAAAGAAAGTTATCAACTGTTTTCTATGTACAGACAAATAATAGAATAGAAAGAATAAATCAGATAATCGAAATATATTTACGTTGTTATATTAATTATAAATAGGATAATTAGATATCGTTATTCCTATTTGCTGTATTTATATATAATAGTACAATCACAGACACAACAAAAATATTGTTATTCTTTGCTAATTATAGTTACAACGTCAATGTTTATCACGAAGTTCAGATATCAGATATCGATAATTAGTTAGTACAAGTCTAGATAAACGAAATCAAAGACTTATATAAAGAACTAAGTAGCGAACTTCAGTTTATTATAGAGAAAAGTACTTTGTACTATAATTCGAAACGTAGTCAGGAGCTAACGTTGAAGGAGGGGGACAGAGTTTACTTACTCAGAAAAAATATCAAAACTAAACGACTAAGCGATAAACTAGATTACAAGAAATTAGGATTATTTAGAATTAAGAAGTTCAAAAGATATTTAAATTATAAACTTACTCTACTAAAGTCAATGAATATCTTTCCAGTTTTCTATATTTCTTTCTTTGAACTAGTACTACTAAGTATACTACTAATGCCAATAACTGAAATAGAACTAGTCAACTTAAACGCTGAATACGAAGTCGAACAAATATTAGACTATAGACAAGTCAAGGGTACAGTCAAGTATTTGATCAAATAGTTGGACTACTTATATTCGGAAAACATATAAGAACCCCGGACTTATCTCAACTACTACCGGATACTTGAGGAGTTCTACTAAAACTAAAGGTTTCCTAAACAGAGTTATCGGGGCTTAGTAGAAAACCAAAGTCGAAAGGAAGGTCGCTGCCTAAGCTGCCGGTCGTAGCAGCTAGCTGCTGCGACTCTGCTTCACGACGAGCTTCCGTTTCCTTTTCCTCCTTTTCTTTCTCCTCCGCTTTATCTAGAGTATCCAGGGACTCGTAGCTCCGACGAAGTATTTCGGCAGCACAACTCCGGAAAGTTTCTCGCTACTTGTCCAGCCGGAGCAACTTGGCCTAGGACGTAGCTAAGCGCTCAAACATTCGTTGTTATTCCTCGAGAAGGAACTACTACGCTTCTTAGGTCGTACACTACTCGTCTACTAACTTCTTCTCCTCTCGTTCCAGTATCAGCTATTCACTTTGTGAAGGCCCCCAGACGTCGCACTTCGCCGAACTACTTACTAGGACGTAGTTCGAACAGCGATCGGATTCTACAGATACGACACAGACACAACGAGGGTCTTTTCAGCAACAGGAGTAAGAAAGCATGTTGATACTATCTCGTAGAATCCGGGAGTAGAAGTTCTAGTGATTTTCTTTAATCTTTTTGGAACGATCAAGTAGTATAATGAAGAAAGAAGAAGGCTATATTTAACGTTCGATGTTTTCGATATAACTTTTAAAGCTAAGAGACTACGCTAAGCTATATAGGGGATAGTGTTACGAACGCCAACTTTATAGTCTGAAGCTCGGGTAAATATGACTTACTACTACAGAGAACTATAGAAGCATGTGACGAGGTCATGTGACAGCCGGATCAGGGTCCCGCTAAGCGATCCGTTGAATTATTAGGGATTTATAGGGATTCTAGAAGTTCACTTGGATCTAGGAGCAGGAAGGTTCTATATAAACAATGTAATTTCCTTACTAGATAGGAGCTTCGTACTCAACTTGAATATCAATCATAATAGTTTACTTTGATTACACTTGACTCCTTCTGTGATTCACTTACTCTGATATCATTTACAGATCATTAGAAGAGATCACTGTATTACTTTGCTACGTAAACGAAACAGAACACTTTTGTTAGGATTCCCTGTCGGAAGAATAACAGAACTGTTACAATATATTCCCAGGTATACTAGTCTTCTCCTGAAGTTATTGATCTAACTGTCTCAAGTTAGAGTTCCCAGTCTCTGGGCTTATCAAGAACTAAAGGTGGTCTAGATATAGTTGGAATTGAATACTCTGTCGATATATTAGTAGATATGAAAAGTATAAAGTAGTAAGAAGTGTAGATTGTAAGAGATTTGAAAGTATTGAAGAATTAGTAGTAGAATTAATAAGATTCTAAATAAATATGAAGAACACTCAAACAATTTGTTTACTACGTAATACTTTAGTAGCCTGGGCTTATAACTGTTGATTAATAGGACCCAAATTAGTATATTTAATACAAGTAATTGATTAGTCAGAATAGGTTATAGAATGGGGTAATTGAATTGATTCTAAAGTCTAATACTATAGGGTGAAAGTTTCACATATATAGGCAAATGAATATATAGAGTCAGGTGATCAATCAAGTAATTCAAGGAAATAATACCGATAGTATCCGAATAGCTTCCCAGGGCCTCCATCATCATATGCCATACTAATTAGTATGGGATGCGATGATATCCGTGTATTCGGCTCATCGCGAGTACACATATCTCATTTCTCCTTTGTGGTGGAGAAGTGCCAAGTGGGGTGCTTAAGTGGCTTGACCAGCCGGCCAGGGGAACTCCCATAACTCCTATATTCTAACAGATAGTAAGTTAGCCGACCTACAACCTGTTTACAGCCTAAAGGTAGTTATTATTTAAAATATTAATATAGTAGTTAACTTTCCTACTTCGTGGTTTCTCTTCAGCTAGTACAGGTAGTGTCTACTAATCCTTAGAAGTCGGCGGCCTAAGTAGGACCGAACTAGCTTCAACCGGAAGTTAGATAAGAGTATATATCGAGTAAAGCTACAACTTGAAGAGCTATATATCGTTTTAGAACTACTATATTAGATCTCTTATAAAAGGCTAAGAGGTAATTCTAATATCTATAGATTATATACTTTATATTAAGACTAACTTACTAATATTAAAGTTATCTTTAGTTTAATAGTTCAATTAGTACTATCCGGCCTAGTAGGGAACCCTCGCTGCCCTTACCTTCTATATTGTGATAGCGACTATCTCGACCAGCCTTCACTATCTCGATATCTGGAATATAGGTCTTGTATTTACGACGCGTTATACTGCGACATTAGATGCCCGCACTGCAGGTGAGCAAGGTGAGTAGGTGAGCAGGGCGAGGAAGGTGGGTATTTGTATGAGGATAGCGAGGGACAAATTTGAGGAGCTAGAAAGATTTTACAAGTTAAGCGATTGGGTGTTTGAATTTTTCTTTTCATTTTCCTGTCTTTTTTGGTTTTCATTCATTCATTCATTCTTCCTTCCTCTTTACGTGAAATGGATGGAAGAGTGAGCGTAGCGGGATTTGGCTTGGGACTTAAGAAGGGGTATGAACGATTGAGGGGAGAGGAGGGAAGATTTTTGGGCAGTGAGACTGATCATACTATCCTACGAGAAAAGCCAGAAAACATGGCGGAATTCGTCGAGACAAGTACTTGGCCGTGTCCGAGACGGTCTGAACGAGAGCGAATACTTTATGACAGCAATTGCTTCACCGTGAACCCAGCGTCTGCTTCGATGGTCGGAAAAAGCAGGAATCTCACCAACTTCCAAGATCAGACATGATGATAGGCCGCCAACTTGACGTGGACTTTTGACATGTTCAGTAGCGGTGCTTTCACGGATAGTTTCGGCAACTTCAGAGGCAGCTAGCACGGCCTATACCACGACGGAAGAGTGGCGATTGCTAGGGCTTTGGTATGATGGGTTTGAGTCAAGGGTATTGGCCTTTAGATGTGGAATTGTTCTTCCTCAGCAAACTAATAGATTTTGTATGTTACCTATCAAATACAGCACCTAGTCTAAATGGATTCCAGGTTATCCTTGCTGGCTTTTAACGCTCTCCTTGCAATCGAGCACAGTCCAGCTCTCCGACCACACAACTAATGAATCTTTTGAAGCCATTATACCCCGAAATGTACCATTCTTAGACAATGCCAGAGCGAACGACTCAATAGACTTGAGCGAAAGTGCTTCTGGCTCTCAATTTGTCACCGTACTTCCAGATCGCAAAAATACCGAAAAAGCAGCCAAAAGTCAACCCGCCGAGAACACTACACCCCTTTCCAATACCGAGATTGTTAAAAAGAGGTTGCGAGAAGTGTATAGCTCCGCATGCCACGGCACTACGAAGGAAAGCTGTTACGTTATTTGTCAGACGAGTCCACTCTCAAAGTCAAGTGAGATTGCTAACTTACTATTTGCAGCAAAGAGGCTTGCAGCGTAGCGGGGATAGCTCATAGGGAGATAAATGAAGATACACATGGTGAGCTAGTAATTGTTTAGTGCGTGAAACGTTTTAGTGCTGGACAAACAACTTACTATGAAGACACATGACAAGTAAAGAACGATCCCAATGGTAGGTGCAACCCAAGTTATGTCCTCCCGTGAAGTCCAGGCAAAAATAAAGATTCCAAATGGTGCAATGAACGCTGCAAAGACCCCGGGTAGAAGTCGATGCTCTGGAGAACCAACGAAATATTTTAGGGTATATGGCTCGTAATGGAACTTGGTGAGGCAAAGGTATGTAGAACCACCAAATATGAAGGCAATAATCACGCAGAGGAATATAACCCCCGTTATTCCAACAGAAAAGCCATAAATCTGCGTATAAACAATGGGGAACGATTCGAAGAAAGAGTACTAGGCATTATTAGCAAACTCAAACTGGTTCTCACTAACCCCGACAACCAATGAGACCAAGTTACTTACGAAAATACCATAAATCAGACCGGTATAGAGATTGATAAAAGCGATGGACGGATCCCGTAGCATGACCAAAAACGGCGTAGTCAGATACCCACCCAGCAGATTCAGAAACTGCAGGTTCCCTTGCTTGATTTCCGATTCTGATCTCAGCTTCTCATTACCGGTTGACCTCCGTAGGCGCTGGGCGCGTTTCAGGAGAATGAAATCAGCGTTGGTTTCCGGCAAGCAAAAGAATAGTAGAAGCCAACTGAAGCCACACAGAATAAGTAGCTCATACATCGACCACCTCCAAGTGGTCAGTGGCACCGAGAACCCAGCCAAAAGCGGACCAAGCGCTGGCCCGGCAAGTGCAGCACCACCCCAGAAGATCAGACCGTATGAGATCTTCGGGAATGAGAAGATATCTGCGGCTGATGCTCCCCCCGTTGCGAGAACTGGGCCGCCGAGAAAACCCTGCAGGAACCGGAGTACGACGAGCCCGGGAAAGTTGGACACCCGGGACGTGACCGCAGTGATGATTATAAATAGGGTAAATGATGCAAAGTAGGGAATATTCCGTCCCAAGCGCGGGACTTCTGACATCGGACTGAAGAATAACGGCCCTACTCCCTGAGAGCCAAGATATGAGTATTTAGGAGTTTGATACAGGTACGCAGTAGCTTACATATCCCAAAACATACATCGATAGCATCAACGATGATTCCTGAGCCGAGACACCAAAAATATGGATAAAGACGGGCTGGGCTGGAGTGATGATTGCCGATCCGGAATATACTATAATCTCTGAGTGAGCAGGGTGAGGATGCAAACAACATCGGCTTAAACTGACCTGAGAAAGTTAGGAGACAGATCTGGAAAAACGTAAATGTTTTTTTTGCCGTCGACCACATCTGAGGATTTTCGAGGTCGCCGTCGCTGTACCAGCTCACGCTCTGGTGATCAGACTTAGACTCGGACTCAGACCCGGATGGAGGGGAAAGCGAATTCTCGTCCGGCTCGGCTCTCTCCACATCCCCATGTATTGAGACGCTCTTCTTCTTTTCGGACTCCGGCACTGGAAACTGGAAACCCTCTTTCTCGTCAGGATATGGAAAGACTTGAGGGCCTAACACCATCCGACAGATCTGGCCGAATGGTGCATCGCGAAAAATTCCAGGCATATTGGAGAGAGAGGCCACGAGGCACAAAAGGATATCTTGCGAGCTGGTTGTAATAGAAAACACAGAGTAATAAAAGCGATAGAGCGATAGAGTAAAGAATGCAAGTGAAGTATTGGAAAGAAGGAGACTTAGAGGACAGAGCGACTTTTAGGTCACCTCCAGTTCGGTTCTCACATGTCTCCATATCCGAAAGAAAGTAGGTGAAGTAATAAGAGCTATACTCAAAGCGGCATTAATCTGCCCTGGTGCAGCAATTAAGGACATATCAAGACAAGCAACATACTTGGGCGTTTGCACAAGAGTCTTCGCTGGCTAGAGTGCTGTAACCCGCGAAGTTTGAACTTGTACTGTATCTCGGCCGATCGGCCGAGCACCCGAGTCTTTTTGGTGTGCTCGGCAACGCCCCGAGAACACCTCCCCCCCCCGAACAATGGAACACTTTACCCAATCTTGATGTTTACTCGCCCAGTGAGTGACTCGTCGGGCAGTGCTCTCGGGACGTTGCCGAGCACAATGTAATTTGCGCTGCCTTCGGTACTTGTATGTAGGTGCAGAAACTTCAATAAGAGAAACCTAGTCAAAAAGAGACTCTGTATGTAAGCTTTACTTCCCCAGGGCCTCTAGACTTTATCATCTACGCCTTTGTCCTTACTGGATCGCTTGAACTTGGTTAGGAACCGTTCCATAACAGCCTCGTATATCATGATAACCTCTTACTTATTCTTATCGGTAGCCTTTCTTGAAAAGGTTGTGCTGAATACTCTCTCAAACTTCGTCTTATCCAAAAACGACAGACACGCTTGGATTCTGCAGTCATACTCCCCAGTCGCAGGCTTGCACATACTCATTACACTGCATATCGTTTGTAGGTTCTGACGTATCTCGCGTGTCGTTGATAACTCGGTAGAACCCACATCCCGCGGGTTTCTCAGAATGTCGAGCAGGACTTCGGCGGCTAATGCCAGCGGTCGCATTATAAAAAGGGACATCTCCTTGTAGGCTGTGATCTTCGAGCCAGATTTACGTTAGCGTACGTTCTCTTATGTTTGGCAAATAAAGGTATTCATGAGTGAGCCCGTTATGTTCTCCAACTTCGCGGAAGCTTAATATCATTTGGGGGCACATAACTTGTTTGGCATCGGTAATATCAGCTTGTAAAACCAAATCGCACATAGCGTTCGCAACAGCGAGTGCTGAATTTCGGTATTCTCTGGCGGCAGAAGTTAAGAACTCGGCTTTCCGGGACCCAATAATGGCGGTTTTGTACCAATCTATGCGAACGCCCAAGATAACAATAAAGGTGAGTACTCGGAGTTCGGGATCTGGCCGATCTAGAAACTCCGGTGTCGATAGAGAGTTGAACGCGATTGAAGCCTGTCCCCTTATTTTCTCATGGACAATACAGAAATTATAATCAGATGCGGCGTCCGATACATATTTCTTGGTCATCTGGCGATGGCGGTCTCCGCATACGACAAGCTTCATGGCAATGATAAAGAGTGAAAAGACGCTGAGCCTACTTGCCGTGCTTGCTGTGATTTCTTCAGGAAGATACACAACCTGGTCTGCAGCAGAATCTATCGCTGAGTTGGGGGCTGGCATTGTAGTAAAAATCTAAAAGTGGCTTGTCAGCTACGAATAAAAGACAGGATTAGGTTGTAATCAAAGACGAGCTTACGTCTTTATCTTTGACAGGCAGACAGGAGGGAAAGCTTGCAGCTGCATTGCAATGTATCGAGAATGCGACCCAATAAGTTTGCCGTATCTTCTGAAGACTTCCAGAGCTGTGGGGATTGGGTACTAGGATATGAGAGCTATCGTCATCGTCTTCGGGCGAGCTTTGATCTAACCTGTCGTATCCAAGCAGACCTATCAATTGCATAAGACGTGCTATGGTTAGAAGCGCTTTCGGTCCGCTGACGTGAGTACATTCAAATCTGGCAACAAGAATCAAAGCTTGAACTGTCTCAATGTTTAAGAAAGAAGAGCTGTCTGCTAGGTTCTCGGCCCTTTCGAGGTGGAAGCGGGCAGCCAGGTAGGACTCCATTGCTAATTCTGACTCTCCACAAGCATTCGACCCGGACATGGCAACTGCATGTTTTAGCGCCATGCATTGATGTTTCTCTACAGAGATGATAGATTGCAAAAACTCTTGCTGGTCAATGATCATTATGTGTTTCCGAACAATCTCGAAATACGGCTGGCATCTAAATGATAGACATTAGACAGGCTGTTACTTTTTATCGAACGGGAGTACCTACTGTCGCTCAATTCCCACTACGGGGGTAGCTCGCTCAAATCGTTTGTCAAGGCTAGGATCTAGTGGTTTTTCTATGACCATTGTAGATGAAGGCCACGAGTAGGACGCGGCATTAAGGTCCGAGACGCTGAAAACCTCAATTCGGGGGTCGTTCATATTCAGATCTAGCTCTAGCTGGGTAACATCTGGACTGGATCCATTCGCATGATCGACTGGGGTTGGTAGTTGGTAGTAGCTGCTAAACTACTTATAAGTCCACCAATAGTTCCTTAGGTTTATATACACCCAAAAACGTACCTATGGCCAAACTCCGCAAAGTCAACATTAGAGAAGTCCATTTCTTCGCCTTGCAGTACTGGATCGTACACAAGCTGGGAACTTTTGGATATCACACTGGAGGATAACGCGGAACATGGTGTCATGGACTCTGTTGTTGTGATCTGACATCCTTGTTCTTGTAGTTTTGTTTCCGCTTGTACTGATTTTGCGATTATTGAGCGAGGACCGTGATCGAGATAGTATCAGGGATATCTTACATAGGCGGGAGTGAATCAAACTCAACGCTGACTTGATCTCGTCGCTGTCTGTGCTGTCTAATGGATAGTGGCATTGATGACCTGACTTCCGACAGCGCTGGCACTGTGGCTTTTGCCTATCACAGCGTACCTTGCGCTCACGACAAATATTGCAGGTCGATCGTTTCGCTTGAGATTGGGTCACATGCCTTCGATGAAGAATTTGGGTGTCGGGACCGAGAGATGCCATTGTGGCTCTCAAGTCAATAAAAAACCTGAACCACAGGCGGGGTTAGATATGATGAAAGATTCTCCCGTAAACGAATAGGACTCGTCAATTGCCAACACCCACTGGCGAAGTGGATTCGCATCCAGAGAGATGCTTGGTGAGGCAGCATCTTTCGAGGCCCACCTATCAGACTACCTGTGAAATGTTGACTCACTAGGGGGTGACAGAGCTCGTGGGCGACCGAAAAGAACGCAACGGATTTTTCGAGTCCCACACAATGTTTATATGTAAGAAAAATATATCTAGATATACAGCTATGTGCACAGATTCTCATGCTCTCGTTTGATTTTCTTAACTGTGTTGTGTAGTAAAGTTGTAAGTATGTGAAAAGTTGTGATGTCCCGCGAATTTTGTCACCGACTCTTGCACCAGTGGTTGGGGTTGGGGCTGACTAATATAAAGGTACCTATGCTTACCTACCTAGTATCTTATTAGTTTAGGCGTCAGCTATTAGAACTGCAGCGCTGCTATCAGCAGGACTGTTGTTAGCTGCTGGAGCTTATTATTCCCGGTACATGTAGCTGCTTCGGGGATGGTTTTCCGCACTCGCTGTGAAGCTCATCGTCGCATTCTTCGCTGACTTACCTAGTTGGGTAAACACACTGTCGAATCATATTTTGATCCTAGACCGATGAGCACACATATTTACACTTAGCCCCGAGATTGCCTCAATCTCTAGAATCCGCTTCAAGCATTTCAGAATTTCAATAAGGTTCAGAGGTTAATAGGAGTGTAAGTGCAGAGTAGATTTCTGTAACAGTGTTGGTAAAATAATCTAAAAAAACTCAAGTATACTTTAAGTAGAATTAGATTAGATTAGATCAGATTTAGAATTTTTGAGTATGAGTATGAGTAGCTAGTAATACTCTATTCTACTCTAATTTAATCAATGCCAACACTGTTTCTATACAAGGGCCATATACCGTATTTATCATTCTCATTTTTTTCCAGCTACAAATTCACAGCGATCTAATATATTCTAACATACCACCTTCTCAATTTTACTATGCTACTGGCTACATTCAACTGTCTTTTAATTCTTTATTTTAATCGTTTCTATATCCGAACCTGATCGGACATTTTCGCAAGGTAACGAAATGATATTTGATGCTATACTTGTATGATTATAACGCTGAAGGTCGTTTCCTACCTTGCCGCACCTACTGCAACAAACGCACCCTAATCATTTCACTCTACCAAATTTGTATCGATACTTACCTCAATACAAGCGTGACAGCGGCGGGAGAGGACTTTAATCTTCGGCATGCTCTGGGATGCGCATTATGCCTTCAGACGTATGGAAATCCTTGTCAACCAGTAGCCCTAAACCGCCTCTGTCACAGGTATATCTACGCCTCGCGCGTGAAATTTTTCAAGATCGCCTAAACGCTTCTTAATAGACGGCGGGTCGCGCTGATACGTACAAATCGAGACTAGTAAACTTGCAACGGATATCCCGATGCATATGCGCATGTCGATGGCGAATGCTTCTATATATGTTTCCCTGACTTCTAGTTTTTCAGCGATGGTGAAAGAGAGAATGGCGACGGGTGATTTGTAGAAGTCGTTGAGCTGTTCTGGCGACAAAACACTGCCTAGAGTATTGTGGATCTTGGTGTTCAGGACAGTAAAGCTGGCGGCCACGCCAGCACTGCCACCAAAGAGACGCATCTGAGCAGTGAGGCCTTGTGCAATTGCTGTATTATTCCTTCTATTTAGTTACAGTGCATTGTCGCATATACGAGGGGTAAGTGCCTCGTTTACTTACAGTAGTCCTCAAACTCGGCTTGTAGAGATGTCATAAGTGTTGAGCTAGAGAGATTCAAACCAAGACCCAGGCCAAGGATGGCCTCAAATGCCCACTGCCTGGCTGCTGGGCTGAGTGTACCTGGAATCGTTGACATGAGCGCACTGCCAATCAGCATGAATATGCTCGCCAGGTTTAAAGTCCAGAATGTTAGGTTCCTTTTGGCCGACACGGCGCCTCCGAGGGCTGATCCAACTGCCATCCCCCCCATAAGCGGTAGCAGCAGAATGCCTGATTTGACAGCGTCATATACATTGACAATCTGAGCACGCAGTGGAATACTGATGATCGAAAGGTGGATAATAAAACCGGCGAGGAATGTGCAGCTGTTTATGAGACACCGAAATCAGCCCTCAAGCTAATGACAGGATATATATACTGAATCATCACTGTGGTGGAATACTTACACAAACACAGAGGCCATGACAGGATCTGTGATTAGTCTGAATGGTAGCTGTGGACGTATGAGGCGGAAGCGAGGATTCCTCGAGAGCTGCCATTGCCATAGCAGGAGAATAACCCACGTAAGGCCAGAGAGGACCAGGATGCAGATAGAGGTCGCGCTATTCCAGGCGTATTCCCTCACAGCAGCCTGGTTGGCAATGAAGACGGGCAGTACCGTTCCGAGCATGACGAGGACGATGCCCACGTAGTCGAGATGCCTGAACTGCACTTTGTCGAGAGCCTGGAAGTTGTTTGGCCAGCAGAAGTAGAAAACCACTCCGGGAATAAGAGCACAAGGCCCGCTGTTGATGATAAGCTAGCTGCCAAATAGCATATAGAATGATAGAAGAATAAATGAATGATATGAGACCGCCAGCTAGCTTACTTCATCCAGAACACCCACCGCCAGCTCGAGTAGGTGGTGAGAAGGCCGCCGATAATAGGTCCACTCACGCCCGCAAGAGCTACAATTAGGCCAATTACTGCGGATATCGCAGGCACCAACCCCGGAGGTGTGACTTCGGGATAGATGATCATGGCCATCGCGTACAAACCAGCGCCCCCAATTCCCTGCACAGCTCGAAATCCGATGAGCTGTTCGAGGCTGGTCGCAAAGCCGCAGGCCAGGGACGCAACTAGAAAGATGAAGAAGGACACGCACACCACCGCTTTCCGGCCCACGACATCGGACACTCTGGCAAGGGCAACGGCAAATCCTGCGATAAGAGCAACTCCTCAGTAAAGGGAGACACACAGATGGCGCTGGAGACATTATTTGCAGCTTGCTTACCGACGTATGATAGAGTATAGGCAAGAATAATCCAAGGCGCATCGCGAAACCCGCCAAAGTCCTCGGAAATGGCGGTAAGCATGGTCGCAACCACCGTGGTATCTAGCAGCGACAGGAACAAGCCTACGCCAATACTAACGACCTTGTAGTTAGCTTGCGCTTCATCCACTACTTCTTATAGTTGTTTCTTAATTGGGAGGAAGGATCTCTTCATACCACGCAAGCACCAGAGTCAGCCTCCATGTGGTCATAGGCTCGCGCTTAACCATGGCGTTGTCCACCTGCCCATCTGACGATATATTGTCCTCTGGACGTTCCGGTTCCGATGGCGCCTGGCGCTCTACATTCTCGGGTTTCTCGCTGGCCATGGTGGGCGAAATGATCTATCTCGTCGTCGAGATTGTCGTCCCAAGGGCTCAAGGGGCTTTGTGGTATAGTTTGGAAGAGATCACTTTGGAAGAGCTGTGCCAGATGCTTGGTGTTGTTGAACATGATGCTAATGTTGGTTTGGCTGCCTAGCCCCCAATCTGCTGCTAGTTGGAAGATGGGAAAAGTAACACAATTAGATTAGAAGGTGATACAGAAATGCAATGCGGTTGGAAAGCGCCAGGCTGAAATCAATACCTACTATATATGTGCGTGTGTGTGGGGTAGGTTGCGTGGTTCGTCAGAATACGAAACAAAGCTTGAACGACACGCCAATATCCAATATACTCATGAGTTCTGACTGGCTCCTTCTCATTCTGCAACCAACATGCGCGAGCAGGAGAAAGATCTTCAACATTATTAGGACGCTATGAAGAAAAGCGAACTTACAAACGGCGGTTTGCTGTGAACCATGTCGGTGTGTGCACGTAGCCGAGGGTTGATGTCATTGAGGTTCAGCAAAGTACCTGGATGTGGGGAAACTGCTTGACATTCAACTGGGAAGTATTTCAAAAACTTGTACTTGTACTATGCTCCCAACACTGCGCCCGCTTTGGTATCCTGGTGTTAGTTTTCGTTGCATGTTTCTTAGCAAGGTCTGTCCGACCGTTGGTCCGTTGCGTTGGTTTCTTGGGCTGTGCGGGGGGATATAGTAAGTCAGGCCACGAGAGTACTTTGCAAGAGGTACAACACAGCAGTTTAATATAATCCTACATCTTCTTAATGCAACGCGCACAATCTGCAGATGTTGGGATTACCTTAAAAACTTTATTAAACTTAAAAAGCCAGAACTTCTTAATATTAATAAGTTTAATATATTAATAAAGTAAATTAAGTATTATACAGATAATTTAAGAACTAGCTCTAAATAAAACTTAAAACTAATAAAGTAACTATAAAAAGGGAAAAGGAATAAGTATAATATAGATTTAGTACCTATTACTGCTTCTAAATAATATTGTTACTGTGCCTTCTTCTTACTACTTGTCATCCAGCCATTTCAATTGGGAAACTCCCGGGAGTAGTAGCCCGTAGACTTTGCTGATGCGCTCCATTGCCCAAATCCGACTCACTGGATGGCTCCGGTTTGTAAGGTTTGTGGAAAGATTCATTCCCTGCATCCAACTCACGAGGGCCATACCCCGAAGATCTATACTCCTCACGCGATGTCGGGAATCTAGGAGGTGCTTCTCCCAATGGGTCTGGTCCGTTAGTTGATAACTGCGGTTTTGGTTTAGAGTTCTTGCGTTGACGTCTCCAAATGAAAAAAGCCACCCCGACAGCTCCCGCTAACCCCAAAACGACAGCGATTGCTATACCAGCAATAGCTCCCTTCGAAAGTCTTGGACTCTTAGGCGCACTTGGAGTACTCGAAGGTGATTCGCTACTGCTACCCGATGTCGAGTTACCGCTGGTTGTCGTGTTACTGGGCGATTCCACCAACTTCCATGTCCCTTTCCACGTATCTTTCCAATCTACCGTAGACGCCGTAATAGTATTATCCGTAGGAGATATGGCCACGGGCGTGGGATTCGATGGGGTGTTTGGTCCAGGGGCTTGAGCAAGAAACCAGAGGCCGTTGCCTTCGACATCATCTTGCCAATTAACTCCAACAAAAGCCGCTTGCATAAATGCTCTCCCCAGCGTGAAACTCGAGCTTGGGCCCTGGTCTGGCCGCAAAGGAAAGTAAGGTGCTGGTTGACTGAGTATCGGAGCCGTCAAAGTCAAGTTGAGAAGTGCGAAAGGAACGTTGATGGTGAGATTTTGGGATACGCTATTGCTGAGACGAAATGTAAAAGAGAGAAAAGCTGGTGATGATACAATTGACTGGTATCTGGGACTAGTTGTATCCCAAAGGTATAGCCCCAAGTTCGGCTTGAAGATGACGGGGAGGTTCTTCGTTATGGCATCACACGCACTTTGGGGCAAGTAAATGTAAGGCACGGTTGCTTCGACAAACACAGTCATTGCAACGCCAATGGACGAGTTCCCAGCGGCTAGCAGTCCAGATTGTTTTGTGAAACTGTATGGCGATTCCCCTTCGGCTACCCCGATCCCAATATCAAGTAAGTCGATCGGGAAGTGATCCAGTGTATATGGTTGACTTGAGACCGGTCCCAAAACTCGATTCTGATCGTAACCGCCTAGATTCAATGATCCTGGTATGCCCAATGCTGCTGATCCCAAATGCATCCCATAAGAGTTTGAGGAAGTTCGACCTGACCCGAACAATGCGCTTGTTAGAAGGGTTCCGTTCCATGGAACTGGATCAGGGATGTGGGACCAGGTTTGATTGAAATGTGGTGCTCCCAATGCTAGTTTCCCAACCTGCACAGGATACTTTGTTCCGTCAGGAAGCTCTTCTAATGCTTCGGCGAGCACCAGGAGGTCGAAATTGGCGATGACCACAGCGCCGGGTTCTCCTCCGGTGCCCGGTCTTGCAGAAAAGGCAATCGTGTCGAACATCCAAAAAGCTTCCCCAGTCAGCGACGGTAGAGCACCCGTTACACTAGCCATTTGCGTATTCGGATAAATTTGACCAGTGTTGCTGATGGAGGTGACTGAATCGGACGAATTCTGGTCGTAAAATCCAGCTGATTTCGGGATCCCGCAAGCATCAGTGTTGGCAGCACAAACAGAGGGGGATATAACATTTGTCATCCATTGACCTCCTGGGAGAAGATCAACTGCCTGGGGAGGAGAAGACGGTGAAGACCCAATGGATATTGTGATTGCGTTCCACGGTCCATTTGGGCCGTAGGTTTTTGATGACCAACTTAGTACCTGCGGAGGAAGAGATTTTCCAGCGGAGAGCACCGAAAAAGCTATCAGCGGTAGAAGTAGGAAGTGGATGGCGAAAGAGTTGCTCGTAAACATCACAGCGGGTTTCAGAAGCAACGCCCAAAGATGGAAGGAAAGACGTAACAGGAGTACACATGATTGCCATGAGATAATGAGAGAGGGGGGACTCGGGGTGAAGAGAAACACAAGGTTCTAACGAGAACCAAACTGTCGGGTCCATCACTGCCATCTACTTCGTAACCCGTCAAACTTCAGTTGGGATTTGAGCCTGAAGGAAACTCCAACAGTACTCGTATTATGGAGCCTCCGGGAACCTCCGGATACCGCCCGGCGCGTCTAGCACGGCGACGAAAAGGTTGAGCTTATTATTAGATTATTAGACGATGCCATTAGTATTATGGCGGACGTTGTGTAACGGAGTTAGCGCTGACCGGAGGGGGCTGCTTTTCACAGTTCCATATTTGTTGGAATTGTAAAGTCTCCGACTGGCCCCAATATCACACCCGTGAAGTCTCGCAGTTTCATGGCCGAATGGCTCATTATAATATCGCAGGCTTGCTGGATCTCTACCTAGTAATAAGCTTTCACTCGTTACGGTCCCCCTTAATTGTGCTTGTACGCAGTTTATAGCTGTAGGATGTTTCCCTTTAATACTTTCAATCCTTCTTAGGAGTCACCAAAACACACATATAGCAGCTATATTTGCTCCCCAAAGTACCTCCTTTGGAGTTGTCATTCTACTCAATTTGTTTACACGTTGCGATGATCATCCGACTCCCGCCAGGAACAAGCCGAAGATCGGTTCCGCTCGCTATCTTCGTTCTTGTTGTCTTGTGGGTTTGGGTACTCTTCGCTCGACCGTGGAGGATCTCGTTCTCGCATATACAATCGCATTTTTACCCAGAGAGTCCGCCGTCTCTGTCAGTGACAGACGCCTTTGACTTCCCCCCTATAGAATCCGAATCTATCAAAAGCATATGCGGCGAGACAGAATGGAACCCAGAAGTCGTATTCAGATGTGATGAATCTGTGGGTGGAATAGGCAATATTCGAAACTCAATCCTCCACTGCGTGCGATATGCAATCTCAGCCGGTGGTGGCCTAGTTATACCTAGCATTGTCCTCCGAAATGCCTCGGACATATCGCAAATACGCACTGGCGTAACAACCACCATGGATTATTTGTTCGATACGCAGCATTTCATTGACTCTCTTCGACTCTCTTGCCCCTCTCTTCCAGTTTACAAGTCTGCCGTCGACATCCCACAATTCCAGGGCCAAGATGCCCTTTCCCTCATCCCCGAAAGTCTTTTCGCTTCCGTTCCAGCAAATGGACTCAAAAACCCCGAAAAATGGCGGGAACTCTTCTACTCCTGGCTTGAAGACTACAGGTCACCTAACAGGACAGGTGCTATGGTTGTTGGGCTCGGGAGGTCATACTTGCACTATCCAATATACTCGGACGGCGAAGGGTTTGCCATGAGCTTTGGTGGTATCCTCAAACTTCGTTCGGACACTCGACGCCTAGCCACCACGACACTGATCAGGTTGGCGGAGGCGCACTCGCTGGCCATCAATTTATCCGAGCCTATTTTACTCAATGCGTTCTTTGGGGCACATCTCCGCACAGAGAAAGATGCCCAGGAAGGCTGGCCAGCACCTGACTGGATCTTTTCGCGATATGCAACGCAGTCCAAGTTATATCTGGAGCAGGCACCTCGGTCCAATACTAGCATCATCTATGTTGCCTCAGGTGATCCCACAGAGGTGGCTAAGTTCACTGCTGATGCGAAAGCTATTAACATGGCTGTGACGACGAAGTACGATCTCCTGACAGAAGACGATAGAGTAGAGTTTGAAAAACTAGCCTGGGACCAACAAGCCTTGGTAGATTATATGGTTATGCTGAAGGCTTCGGATTTTGCCGGGGTTGGTCACTCAAGTTTTGCTTGGAACATAGCCCTGAAAAGACACCAATATGCCCAGCAGACGAACCATCTGGATGGGCCGCAGATGTTGAGTGACGAGCTGAGCCAGATCTACGGCACCCCCAGAGGATACCCTGAGTACGCTGCATGTTTATGGCCTTGATACTTTAATCAAGCCAGCGAAATATCATCTCAGACTATGGGAAACACTTGTATCTCAAGACAAGAAAGAAGCAGCCTCGCATTCTATCCACGGTTGAAGATAGTTCTATACACCAAAGTGGGCAGACTTTCCACATTCGGGTTCATCGTCTTGGGAATCGTGACATGTCCATGCTTTGGAGCTTCCGCCTCGCGCAAAGCATAGCCTCAAGATTGCGTCGACACATAGAGGCATTCGATTGTCTTTTGGTGGTATGCCACCGTAAAGGAAGCTTTTTCTGCGCACCGTATTCCTGTCGTCAACTGGTTAGGCTAGAAATGGTTTGAAGACTAAGCGGTGGCGCGGCCAAATCGGCCACTTCCTAGCCGACGTTCCTACGGTGTCCCATCAGAGTCCGACTCCCTCCGCAAAACCCCGACCTTTCGACTATGGTTTCTACTGCGGGAGATTATGCTGACTTCTTTGGTTGCCCGGAAGGTTCATATTTTGGGAGAATCTCAAGACGGACAAATACGTTCCGCTCGGGAGAAGAAGCAGTCAGTGGAGTATAAGAAACCTAGGCGGTAGATGGGCAGTCGCTAGCCCAACGAGGAATGTGGAGCTTCCTAGGTAGAACTTATTCCGTAAGAGAGAAAAATGAGTTAATAAGGCCCTTTTATGAGCGTACATCGATAACTTGGAGCACAAGTAGATTATGGCGCCTTTGAACTGATATCCTCGAACCAAGATTGAATGGTCGAAGTGGTTTCTTAGCTCACACCACGGGACTTCATGGAGAGATACGCGATTATATATGGTAGTACATTGATAAAAGCACCCCCCCGCTAAAAATGATACGTTGTACAATCAATTCAATCCTTGGCGGACCCCATATGCCCTTCCAGACACAACAAAGTGAGCAGTACACTTAGGGGCTCTAAAACTTGACTTTTCTCAATATCCCATCTGAAACTGAGAGTTGGGTATTTCCTTTTCGGACAATTTTCCCCACTATGCGCAAGGTGTGAAGATCATGAAAAATAGGTATATTTTGTGAAGATTTGGTATCATAAGCGATACGAGAAGCGGATGTAGCTAGCTAAGATGCTACTTGCCACTTGATATATATTTTTACAATTCCCAACCCATCTATGCAAGAACGCCTAGTATACTATACAGCCAACGTGTAGTACAACATCACATCTTACAACCATTATATCATACAGAAGCAGCAGCAGCAGCAGCAGCTTTTTCATGCTGCAGATCATCCCACTCCGGAGTGGTGGGGGAATTTGCATCAGATGCGGGTGAATCCTCCGAATCATGTTCATCAGCTTTAGCTTTCACATCGTCCACATCTTCATCTTCCTCATTTTCCTCATCTTCATCTTCCACATCATCAACCTGATCACTTCCAAAGCCGCTTTCTTCCAACTCCTTGGCACGCTTGTATTGTTGAGCCAAATCTCCATGCTTGTTTCCAGTGCCAAAACTCCACACGCCCTGAGCTAAGCACTGATCGATCTTTTCTTCCACCAAGGTTTTCACATGGAAAGCCAGTGCTTGGCTTCTGAAGATGCCAGCAAACCGATAACTTAGCCAGAGATATACCGTCAAACTATTGTGCAGAGTCTCAGCCGCCCGCAAGTACCCTTTGGCACCATCGGGATGGTCATTGATATCGGTATCTATCAGTTCGAGGTTGAAGGATCGAAGGCCCACCAGTTCGCCGCCAGATTGGGTCGAGATACACTTGGCTAGCTCAATAACAACCGCATGTGCTCCCGGGGACCGCAGGGTGACAGGTGCATTCATAAATATAATACGATCCGTGACTTGCATCTTGTAGGGCTGGATCAGGTCAAGAATCCCGATATGTGTGCGGAACTCGCAGACATGAAAGAGAGGGTTGACGGTGGCTAGTTCCTGCAGGCGGAGGACGATGTAGCTGAATGGTGTTTCGGGAGGGAATAATGAGGCCATTCTGGCGATGGTTTCCCCTGGTGGGAAAATGCCGGCCGTCATGAGGGGTGCAACTTTCGCTGACATAGCTTTCTCGATGACGTGTAAATCCCCTGGATGAAGCGTAGTCACATACCCGACATTAGGCTCGTTCGACTCGAGAGACTTTAATGGAGGGCCGGTATTGGAAACATCGGTAGAGCCATGCTGTACGGCTTGGCGTAAAGTTTTGAATCTGCCGGCCCTGCCGGCGATTTGGTTGATTTCCGGAATTTCAAGGCGTCGATGAAGCAGCCCATCATGTTTACTAACGCTCTCGAAAATAATTCGTTTGATACTGAGGTTCAGGCCCATACCAACAGCATTACTTGCCACAAGATAGTCGTAGTCGTTATTAGGGTCGTTGAAAAGGTTGGCTTGTTGAGCACGGGTCTCCGGCGGCAGAGAACCGTAGACCACAGCACAGCGCTTCCCAGTGTGCTTCTCGATCCTCCTCTTCATAGAGTGGATCTGCACGCGGGAAAATAGAATGATAGCATCCCCTTTCCTGAGTTTGTTTAGATCATCCTTGAGGGAAACCGTTTCTGGTTGAAGGGGGCCAAGTCGCTCGTAGTTGTGGATGACAAGCTTGTCTCCCATCGTAGCACAAAGCTTTTTGATAATTTGCACAGTTCGAGATTCACCACATAGATGCACTTCTTTTGCCTTGACTCCGAGGAATGCCTGCGTCCAAGCCCAGCCGCGCGAGTAATCTCCCATCATCTGGATCTCATCGATGACGGCAACCTCAACGTCGATGTTCAGTGGCACCATTTCAACTGTACAGCTGCGCATCTGGACATCGCCACCTTGAGGGATGCGGAATTCCTCTCCTGTTATCAAGGCACATGCCTTCCCCTTGGCATTGAATCGTGTATAGACCTCATGTGCTAGCAGTCGCAACGGGCCAGCATATATCCCACTTTTCGCCTCCTCGAGCCTTTTTAAAGCATGATATGTTTTGCCGGAATTAGTAGGCCCAACATGCAGGTGTATTGTTCGTTGCAATGCCCTTGTTCCTGGATACCACTCGATAGGATGACTGAAGTCCGCCAGCTTTTGCTGTAGATCCGTCGTGTCCCTACTGGAATGTTCCTTCTTAAGCGTCGAGGTGAGAAATCTGTATGTCAACTCCGCATGCAGCCCTGCTATGTGCCCTCTGATAAATGCCTGCCGGAGATGGTAGAAGAGCGGATTCTCTTCTTTGCTGATCAGCAGCTGTCTGAGAGCTTTATTTGTAGCATGCTGGACCGTTATCGTGAAACTCTTGAGAAGGGGATCAAGGTCGGCACGCTTGCGGAGGCCCCAAGCAGCTGCTCTGTTCACATCTCGAGTATATATCGTGCGCTTCAGCACTTTGCACTGCTCCCACACAACCTCCGCGAACAGACCGTACGCGGTATTGCTCCTATTCTCACCCAATGGTGGTGCTCGAATCTCGTCTCCCCTTGACGAGCGAACTCGTCTTCCAACTCCCTTGGGTTCATTCTGCGTATCCTTAGCGCGATATCTGATTGCGGATGTGTGAAGACTGGCGCGGGCTTGCCATGGTGGTTGTATTGACGGAGAGGACCATATCGAGTTTGAAGACTTAGGGACACAGAGAGTACATTTCCCAGGTTTTCGTAATGCCCGTCGCATTATCGTAGTGAGGTAGGAGGGGGTGTTGGGGGCAGAAAGAGACCGGGATGTCTCATTCAGGGTGAAGGATGATGTTTGAAGCTGTACGCAGTACTTTAGTACAATAATAAATTTTCGAGAAGGCGATAAGGGGACGACGCGACAAGGCGACAAGGCGACAACAATGGTGCCTTGGCCCTGGAGCCATCGGAGCTTCGGAGTTAACCTAATTGAGCTGTTTCCACGTGCATGGCCAACCTGTCAGCCAACTTGCCGTCTACTTATTCGGCAACTTATTAACTGCAACAAACACAACACAACACAACACCACACTATATCAGCCTGGTCCACCGCCAAACCATTGCTGTCTCCCGCTCAAAGAGAACAATGATCCAGTGCATGCTAATAACAATAGCCTAGACAACCCAGCGCGATGGCTTCGTCATCAACCCCCCCCACACCACTCCTCTAGTAAGTCCCTCCTCCCTCTCTTCCACCGCTCCTATAGAAAGCAAACTGGGACTCACCACCTCTAGCTCGTGCATTGCACACAATACTACGATCCTCAGTGAACATACTACCTCCGCCTCCTCCCAAACATCTTCTCTCGCCTCCCTCGTTCTCCCAAAAATCAAGCATGACACAGCTCAAAAGCTATCCTACACCCACAATAATAACTTCATCCACTACATCGCCGACGCCCCATCAGAATACCCATCCTCCCCGTCCGCCGGCGGAATTACCTACCTCGTAATCGCCGACGCCTCTCTCGGCCGCCGCATCCCCTTCGGCTTCCTCGTCGAGATCAAGAAACGGTTCCTTTCACGCTTCCCCCCTGAAAGCACCGACTTTGCCAGCCTACCGAATTATGGCGCGGGAAGCTTTAATAGCGAGCTGAAGGGGCTGATGGTTGAGTACGGGACCACGCAGGCAGGGAAGCACGATGCGATATCCAATGTCCAGGGAGAGATTGATAACGTTAGAGGGATAATGAGCCAGAATATTGAGAGTTTGCTGGAAAGGGGGGAGAGGATTGATTTGTTGGTCGATAAAACGGACCGGCTGGGCGGGAGCGCCCATGAGTTTAGGATTCGGAGTCGAGGCCTAAGGAGGCAGATGTGGTGGAAGAACGTTAAGCTTATGGCCCTACTTATTGTCGTGGTTATATTCTTGATTTATTTATTTGTTGGGTTTGGATGTGGGTTGCCTGGGTGGTCGAAGTGTGTTGGTAGTGGAAAATGAGAGGAGGTCATGGAGTTGCTAGAAGGTGCTTTCGACTAGATTTGTAGGATGGCTATCCGAAAACGGGGCGATCCTTTATATACCAAGCGGAGTTTGGAGGCCTCGGGAATACACGAGGACACTGGGTTCCTTATATAGCACATAGAGCTAAAAAATCGCTCCTCGAATACATTCGATCTTTCCTCATGGTGGATAAAACAAAGCAAAATCACCGTGACTTTCGGTCGTCACTCTTACTCGAGTATTGCATAGTTATCGTATGCTGATGCCGTGTACTAACGTAACGGCTAGAGATTCCCAGCCCCTTCAATGGGTATACATTCGGATCTCCTATCATACCGTCCCCATCCGTGTTCTTCTTTCAATCCATCCCCAATCCAAAGCTCCCTTCTCGTGTTTATCCCCAGCCCCACTCTGTCCAGGCCATCGCTCTCACAGCTTAACCTCCACGTCGCCCCACTTCCTCCCCCCATCATTAAAAACATATCCTTCAGCAACAGGACTAATTGATCCCCCAGCCAAAACGCCATTAGGCGGTTTCTTCAGCCTTTCAGTAAAGAACACAGGATGTCTCATCGCAGCATCAAGGACCACCTCTCTTCGTTGCGCCGAAGCCATCAGGGGTTGTCTCTGTCGTACCGCTAACTCTACTGGTAATGGGAGAGCTCCGAATTGTGATCCTGGCATATCAAAGGACGAGGGGGAGTGTGTCGTGTATGCGGTGGTAGACTGGTTTATGGGAGTTTGCTGTCTAGGAAGAGGATTCTACAGCAGGTAAGTTAGCATTCCTGCAATTGGGTTCCTTTTAGGAGCTGTCGGACATACCATTGGTCTCGAATTCCGCATCGACGAAAACATTCTGTCGGCTTCCTCTGCTTGTGCGCGGTGTTGTTGGTTCTGTTGTGGCGTGGCGGAGGGGAAGATCTGGCTGATTGAGCGGCGGAGCATTGTGCCGGTATTTGTAGCTCTTGAAGGTTGCTACCTCGGTGCTCACATGTAATTTGGGAATTGAAGTAGAATCAATTTCAAGTCGGACGTCGTGTGGTCTCAGGGAAGGGCTTGGAAGGTTTCAATGAATGTCTATGAAGTATATAGGTAGATAAAGTAGGGAGATGTTGATATACTACTACCTCGCTAGGTCCTACCGTATATAGGGTTACTTTAGGTGCTATTTGTAGCTTATTGTTAACTGAAGCGTGTGGGGTACAGTAGCTCGACGAGGAAGCTCCACTCCGCCTCGGGGACAACTCGGGAACCTCGGCTCTGACGACATCGGGATGGTCGGGGAGAGCGTGGTATTTTATATAACTTGAAGGTATTTATACAAGAAACATTTATTTCTACAATGACAGTGAGAGTACTTGTAACGATTTTATACTAATTGGCAAACTCTGCGTTTGTATTGCAGACTTCCCCATTTCTTGTTCCTGAGATAAGATCCGATACAATGCTCAATCCATATATTTCCTGTATAAGTTCCACATTCCCATCTAAACACCCAACACCATCCCAATGCATCTTCCGATCCTGTACAAGGTAACGCTCAAGAAATGGTATGTGCAGATATCCAGTTTGCTATGCCACACTAATCAAACGCTTCATTCAAAGTGGTCGGGCGGCTTCAAGTCACCCTCGCCCTCCATCACTGTCCCATGTAAAGGTGCAGACCCAAGAGTTGCCAGCGCCGGCACGGTTGCTCCCATCAAGCTCCTTCGGTGGGGCCGCGAATCAAAGTCTTCACTCTCCTCCGCGATCCGGGTCTCCGTTAAATCCCCTATAGCCCCCGACTCCTCAACGGAAGATTCGGGGTAGAGGGCTAACTGCACTTCGTTTCCTAAGCCTTGTGAAAAGTCATTCGCCATCTTGAAATGCGATAAGCTGTCCTTGTTGGCTAATGAAGAATACTTGGCACTAGCTTCGTCCAGACGTTGCTTGGATTGTTGGGGTTTTCCCAGGGTGAGCCACGCATCAGCCGCAAGAATACTCCATACGGCAGATTTTCGAAGTCGGTGGCCCCAGAGTCCGGAGCCAGCTCCTTTCTTGGATGCATAGCAAGCTGAAATGCGTTCTTTTATCAGAGCATCCCCAATGACGCCTACTACTTTGTATTCCAAGAGCTTGGTACCCCACTTAGCTGCATCCTCGGTGGCTGACCCCCCTCGAAGCCTTAATAGCTCCGTCCCCAGGAGCAATGAGCGCAACGCGCCATAAGATGCTCCGCATCGAGTGATGTATGAATAACAGGCGCTTTCTAGCATTTGATCGACAGTCTCTAATCGAACTTTTGAGCTGAGCGCTTGCGGAATCAACAGCGTGCTAATGGCAGCCATCTCATTTGTCGCAGCATGGTATTTCCATGCTTTATCGTTCATGAAGTCTGAACGAAGCAATTCATATGTCGATTGCGCTAACTTCCAATCTCGAAGCATGAACGCATAGTCCGCAAGCTTTCGCATCACCGCCTCAGGAGAATCTGGTCTGTAAAATCCCTGCAGAGCGTCGTAGTTGGATCCAGAACCGGCGCCATTTGAAGAAGAGTTCCGCGAACTACTTCCAAACCCAGTCCATTTCTTGGATAGACTAATAAACCGCCCGCTTATCCCTCTTCGCCGTGATGCCACCTGGTCATTCCACGTCGAGATACATCTTTCCATGGATGGAACAACCGATTGGGTAACCATTCCCCGGATGAAGGTTTTGATAGCAGTCATGTCTGATTCGTAGATGCAGGGAAAAGAGCCGTCGATATCCTCCTGCATTTCACGCTCCTGGATATCTGCGATTTCTTCCGAGGCCGTGACCCACTCAGATCGAGGAAACTGTACGCTATCGTCGTCTGTTGCCACACAGTTACTACTCCTTAATCGAAGGAGATGACAGTGAAGACCAAAATGTCTCTTCATCTGGTCAAACATTGTCATTGATTTGGCGATATCATCTCGTTCCTCATCGTGAACTAAGACATAATAGCGTAGATATTCGTTGCTTACCCAAAGAGGCAGCCTTTTCAGTCCCACAGATGATTCTTGATAAAGATTCCGTAGCGTCTCGATTGGGTTGGTGTTCCTTGAGCTGATTGCAATTACACAAGCAACTGGATGTGCAAAACTCTCATGGGGCGTCAGAGGTATGCCCGAGAGTAACCTCCGTAGGTAGAGAGTATAAAATGGGGATGCGGTATCAACATCTCGATTCTCCTTGAATGTCAGGTAATCCTCTCCGGTCATATTCGGAAAATCTTCTGCGTGGGTCAAGTGCCGATCTACCAAGGTTTCGATTTGGGAAATACTCCCTCCGGTCCTTGAGCTTTGAGCAGGGAATGACTTCGATTCATTTATACCACCATTTAATGATGGCCCTTTGCCTTCTTCGCTTTTTCGTGAACCTGGTACCCCCTCCGGTATCTCAAGACCATCACCTAGTTGAACAAACCGCACAGCAAAATTATCATAGGACCGCCCAGCCCCTATACTGTCTCGAACTATCACCTTCCCCTGAACCCGCTCCCCAAAGGGGCGTAACAATTCCCAAAGTCCTCCATTGAAACCTTTGTCTTTCACTAGGTCATGGGTGTCCTGCGATGTGTGGACAGCGACATGGGGGATAAAGGCTTGTATAATAAGATTCCGGGGATCTTCCGGTCGTTCTGCTGGTGGTAGCTGCTGGGAATCCCCAGGAATGCCCCCAAATACAGAGCCTGAAAGGCTTATCGATCGACCCAGGCCTCCACTAGGAGAGGACGGTCGTGATCCAGTCGGCGTCGATGTGGATGCAAAAAGGGACGAGACGGAAGGATTCGATACTCGGTATGGTAGTGTCGACGCTGAAGATGCCATCGATTGGGTTTCTGCGGAGCCTCGGGTCTTTGGCAATGACATCCTCAGCGGAGACGCCGCTGGTTCGGGGGGCGAGACATTGTCCGGAGATGTCATGAAGAGCAATCGGAGCTCCTCCGGTGGAACAGAGTCAGTCTATCTGATCGTTCGGCCAACCGTGGGCGTTGGACGGAAGATTGCATATGTAAATCGCAGAGCACAGTGCTACAGCGCAAATGAAGGTCAGCAAACAGTGGAAACATGCATGTGGCCTTGGGTTGGCTACAGACAAACTACGCTGTAGTTCAAATGGAATCGTGGTCGCCTACATGTGTCTCATGCATGTATAGTAGTGTCTGGATGCAATAACTTCAGGACTTCGCTGTAACTGTGCGGTAATACACCTTAAAACACCAGCCGCGCATCGAAGGAGGACGGTTTTTATGTACGAAGTAGATCGAAGGCCCGTTGCTTAACAACTTGCGCTTCAAGGTTCACCAGGGTTTCCACGTGATTAGAGCCGTGCAGCCGACTTTCTGCCGGAACATCATCGGAAGTGGTGTTCAATATCATGATTCTTTGTTTACTTACACACACATTCTGCACAGATTACATGTTTTTTGAAGGCTCAGGCGGGTATACATGTACACTGGGGGTTTTATGACAATGACAAGCTGGAGCTGATGACTGCACTGGCACATCTTCCCTCCCGGTTATTTCTACGCACCGGACAATTTTTACGAGTCACAGTTCGAGTCACAGCAATCGACTCGCAACATAAGTTCTCGTCAACTTCATGCGCTAGTGCCCTTATGAAAAGGAAAGACACAGAGCTTGATACTTCAGCTCTCCCCAAGCACAAAAAATTCCGTTCAACTATGGCGACTACGCAGATCCTACTTACGCCTCAAGAGCAGAGACTCCGTCTCCTCCTCCTGGACGTGGCCCATTTTATCGATGAGGCCAAACTGATCCAGGAGAAGATTGAACTACGGTTTGCGGGAGGTTGGGTTCGTGATAAGCTACTCAGCATCCCAAGTCATGATATCGATACAGCAATCAATTCCATGACCGGTTTTGCCTTTTGCGAGCAGATGCAAAAGTACCTAGACAACCCCAAAAATATCCAGAAGCATGCCTTACAGAAGGCCGATTTGGGCAGTCTCCACAAGATTGCAGCAAATCCCGAGAAGTCTAAGCATCTTGAAACCGTCACCACCCGAATTTTTGGCTTCGATGTTGATTTTGTCAATTTGCGCAAGGAGGTTTACGCGGACGACAGTCGAACCCCTCAAATGGATTTTGGAACGGCAGAGGAAGATTCTTTGCGGCGAGATGCTACTATCAATGCCCTCTTCTACAATCTTCACTCCGATCAAGTCGAGGATCTTTGTGGCGGCCTTGAAAGCCTCCGTGCGAAATGCATCAGAACGCCCCTTGAGCCACTTACTACATTCACGGACGACCCATTACGAGTTTTGAGACTCATTAGATTCGCTAGCCGCCTGGGGTTTACTATCGATCCGGATGTTGAGGTGGCCATGACCGATCCTTCTGTTAATGAAGCTCTCAAACTAAAGATTAGTAGAGAGCGGGTAGGGGTGGAGCTGGAGAAGATGTTGACAGGTTAATATAAATACCTCTGCATCCATGTTAATGCATACTAACCATCATACTAGGCAATGACCCCCAAGGTGCTCTTTATCTCATTGATAGACTTGGTCTCTACCCTTTCATCTTCACAGACCCTACTGCCCCAGACTTCCCAGTCCCCAGTACCGTTAGCTGGAACTTTGTATATGGACTTTTACAGGTTTTGAAAGTTAATGAGACTCCTGGATCCATCTACCACTCATTGGTCCGATCAGATGATGCGAAATATATTGCTTGGATACTTGCTGCACTCACTCCCTGGTCGTCTGTACCACTTCCCGAACGGAGCGCAACTGGCAAACTGCCACCACCTGTGGCGGCACTGATCGCCAGAGAAGGAATCAAAGCAAATAGCAAAATTTGCGACATTGTCACTGGAGCTTTCAGGAATTGTGGCGAGATTACAAGTCTCAGAGATGCAATCAAGTTGAAAGACCCATACAGTCAAGAGCGTGATAAGCTAGGGATGTCGATTCGACGGTGGGATTCACAAGGTAAAAATTGGCGACTCCAAGTTCTGTTAGCCATTTTTGTGGAAGCCTTGAATGGGGATGGTCAATCATGTAGGTGCTACATTCCTCGATTTTGTAATGCCTGCTAACATTGAACTAGCGTATAATGAGCTCATTAGTGAATGGCAAATGTTTGTCATTCACTTGGAAGAAATGGATCTTATGGATGCGCCTTCGATAAAGCCTCTTGTCAATGGAAACATGCTCACCAAAGCTTTGGGAGGGATCAAGCCCGGGATTTGGATGAAGCCGGCACTGGACCGTTGTCTTGAATGGCAGTTGAGAAATCCCGGCGATGACGACTTTGAAAAAGCAATTGAAGAGGTTAGAGCGAAGAGGGAAGAACTAAAGATACCCGTAGCTTAGATTAGAATTATCCGCCTATAGAGATACTTGTAGCATAAAAGAAACGTGCACTAAAAGTCATGTTTTCATGTGCTCTTTAAACGACATCCATCGTAACTCGCACAGCAACTATCAATGCCATTTAAGATGAGGAGACAATGGAAATGAGCCTATACTTGGATTAAAGATAACCATTAATATAACCAATCTAAACTAATTCACTTAATTTAGACGTACCTTATCGTTGGTTAGTTGGCTCATAAGGCAAACTTTGTGGCATTTAGCTTGTCGCGGCGATTTGGCGAACATCCAAACTGCACTCTCGGAAAATCGCTCCCTCCAAGTCCATGACATGCGGCTACAATCAAGATGTTCGACTCCACCCACAGAGTTGCTAAAGAACTAGTTTCGAAGTCCTCTTTTAAACATGATGAAGCTCTCGCGCTGCTGTCGCAATGTACGGCTCGATCTTCCTTTGCCCGTCCAATTTGCTAACCAGCGTCGCAGGTCTGCCGGAGCGATACTCGCTATCCGAACTTTACATTGAATTGAAGCCCAGGGACCAGAAGAGCAGCAAAAAGGTGAGCCCATATAAGTTTTCTAACCCAAGGGGTAAATATCCTAACTAGATCTCATCAAGGATACGCTCGAAAACGTTCTTATCCTAACCAGCTGTCTCGGCAACCCCGACCGGATTATGAGAGAGAGCGCGGAGGAAGATGCCATCAATAAACTGTTATTGTGGGTTTCTAAGGTAATTCTACCAGATAGTGGTTTGATTCGTCAAGATGAAATGCCGGAAGGTAAGTATCGGACCCCGAAATGCCTACCATCTTCTCACATTTTCATAGACAACGAGCCGGCGTCACGGCAGCGCGCCTTAATCCTCACACAGCACGCATCTACCTTAGGCCTCCAAAGTCTTAATCTTCTAATCACCCAAATCCCATCTTCGCCCCAGAAGACGCTCGATCCCCAAATCCTGCTCTCGCTCATCGCCTTTACCAATCCTAGTGATCCCTGGACAACCCAAGCTGCATCAGACACGGCACACTCACTCCTCTCAAAATACACCGCCCAAACCCTCACCTCAGACTTTATCATCTCATTCCTTCTTCAATCTTTCATTCGCCCTTTGTACTCCAAGTCCAAACCGACAAGCATCACCTCGGCTGGCCGAAAAGCTATGCCCTCGTCTGCACCGCCGAAGAGATTTGAAGCCGCGGATTTAGATCGTTCATCTAAGCCTTGGAAATACGAGGTAGTGTACAGTATTACTATATTTAAATGGGCGGTAGAGAATATTCCCGTAAGCCTCTCTCTCTCTCTGATCTACCCTCTCGTCCAATTCTGCCCCGATTGCCGCAAGAAATACAAACAAAACATTAACATAGCCCAACCAGTCCACACTGATATCCTCATCATGGCACCTCTTCATCCCACCTCTCCTAACCCTCCTCGACGACCAAAGCACACATATTCGCCTCTCGGGCATCCATATACTTACACACCTCCTCCCTTACCTAACACCAAAACTGCTCTCCCAATCCGGACTAGACCAGGTCTTTGAAGATGCACTCATGCCCATACTACTCTACCTACCAAATCTCACGCCTCCCGAAGAATCTCTGCAATTATTACCTGCGGCATATGGGGCACTGGGGGTATTGTGTGATGTACGGTATCCCCCACCTCCTTCACATGCTACTCCCCAAACAGAAACAACGGACGAACAGCAAGCACAGCTCGAGAAAGAAAAAGTCAAGCTATTAGACCGCATACTCCGAAAAGGAATATTTGCAGGATACGCGCATTCATGCGAACACATTCCCATCGTCGAGGAATTAATCCGGCAACTCCGAGTCTTGATTTCGAGATTGGGTATCCATACTGTGAAGCATCTCAAGGACATCTTACCCATAATACTCCCATCGCTATCCGACCCGTTCACCCCATCATCTAGTCCTTCCTTACTACTGTCTTGCATTTTAGCGCTGCAAACAACGGTTTTGAACACTTGGCCTAGGCTTGGGGTTGAGAAGTATAGGATGGAGGTTATTAAAGTGATTGCGGTTGGTTGGAAGAATACTACTGATGCAGTAGTGGATGAAAAGGATGGAGTAAGGAAAGAGGGGTTGGAGACGGTGAAGAAGGAGCTGAAAGTACTGGGGAGGTTGTTTGTTAAAGCTGTGGAAGCGGGCGATGGAGGGGAAGAGGTTAATGGGGAGGTGGCGACGTTGGTAGCTGAGGTGCAAGGAATGGGGATGGAGGAGCTGTTTGGTGTTTGATAGTAGAGAGGGAAGTTGAGAGAGCGGCCCAGGGCAAAGGTCTCGTAGGAGTACTATTTTTTGTTGAGAGAATCAAATTTTGATAATAGGTGGTATCTTCACGATTACTATGCTATGCTATGCACGCTTTCCCAAACCAAAGTTCATGCCACGCCTCAACTCCACGTGAAATACTCACCCTTAACACCAACGCCATCCATCTCATTCATATAAACTCTACAGTACAACCCTAATCAACAGGCTGCTGCTTAAACAAGCTCTTCCCCATCAACCACTTCCTATAAGCCTTATACCTCTTCTTCCCAAAATCCTCCTCCGCAATCGCTAGTGGATTCTCACTCAAAACGAAGAAGTCCCGATATTCCTCCAAATCCTCTTTCCTAATCCCGTCTACGCCTTCCGCACCATCATCGGACCCCGATCTTGCCCCTACGATCCCAATATCCTGCCAACTCCCATTAACGTAATTAAGGTATTCGGAATCAAATTGCGCTGGGACCTCGGTGGATACTACAAGTGGCAAACGTTGCGGATGTGATATGTAGCGAGCGTAGTCGTCGCAGTCTTCTTGGCTTACGGAGGGGTTGAGGGATTCGTGGACGACCTGTGTAAATGTCCATTGCGCCGCTTTGCTCTTGTCTAGCGGAGTGAGCTTTTGCTTTTGGGGTTCCGTGTCGAATTGTTGAGGTTCTCGCATGATCCCGCCATGGCTAGGATGGCCCCTTTCGTGGCTAGGCTGGAGCCATCTTTGTATTGAGATGCGTTTTGTGGTTGTACCGGACATTATTGATGCGGTATCATCGTCTTGTAGGTGCTCGTTTTCTTCGGTGGGATCTACAATCGTTACTTCTTTTCTGGGCTTTTTCTTCTCTGGTACGTCTTGGTCGAGCTCGGTGCGGACTTTAAATGGCGAGAGATCGTAGCGGCCGTCTTGGGCAGATCGGAGAGCGATGTAGCGGAGCGTGGAGTTCATCTTTCCCATGTATGAGAATATCTTTCCAAGTGAGGAGACAGTGTAGGGTTTGTAATATTCGAGCCAATAGTCGTCAAAGAAACCTAGGGGTTTTGCGGTGGCAAATCCGTGGGGTTCAAGATATTTGGGAAGAGTACGCTTTTGAAGGAATGATAGCGTGTACCAGTTTATGTAGCTTCGACGACTTGTCCGAGACCACCCTCGTGGGTCGGCATGGTGGAGGTAATAATCGGTTGAGAGATCCCACAACATGGGTTGGCCTTTGGCGAAGATGTAGTTGCCCAGAAAAAGATTATATGCTTCCTGGCGCTGCCCATCAAGGAAAGAATTGTTGTAGTATCGTTTGAAACTCTCCACCATATCCCTCGAGTGGCTCGTCCACTGGTTTATCTTCCGGTAGGTCTCCATCGTATTAACAAGCTGGGAGCCTCCATACTGGATCGCGATGGTATCTCCGTGGTCATGATACATATGAGTGAAAAGATTGATAGCATCGGAGTCATATTCAATCTGGGTATTTGAAATGATACCTAAAGCATGGAGTTGGTGGCCCAAAGCCCTTTTACCAATGACGAATTGGGCGGCGTTCGTCCGGTCCAAACAGTCAATGCAATTCGTCCTCGCAATCCCATTTTGAACTTTCGGCATACTGGTGATCCCGTCCCCGTTGTGGAAGAACCCCGTCGTGGTAACAACTTCTTCGGCGATGCTCTCAAGGGTGCCAATAACATCTTGGTCTCGGCTCTTCGAAGCGCGACTCATGTCCCACGCTTTATGAATGATCTTTTTGTCGTCTGGAAGAAATTGATTGAGGTAATTAATAGCAGTTGTGAATTCATGCAAGAGCTTTGATTCTCGAGGAATCCGCTCGCGGGATTTCACCAGATTTAGAACGTATACCGGAGCACCGTATCTTTCGAAAAGATTATCAAAATGCAATGCAGCGGCTCCGTAAAATGGATCAACAAGATTTAGCTCAATAGGTGGTTTTGGTGTGACTCCGGTGTTATCTTGAGTCCAGTAGAGGGGGATGCTTCCGCGGTGTTGGACGTAGGACGTATAGCTGGGATTGGCGAAGAGCTTCGGGCCTGGAGCATGAAACGACGTTGTCAGGACTTCTGACACTATCTGCTCAGTCTCGACATCATTGGCGACATAGCCCTACAGAGGTCAGCAGTTATAAGTACACCAATATGACCAGGCGTACCAGATCATTGGCCCCACGCTTTAGGAAACGAGCCCCAGCGAAATATCTTGAGCGCCTGGCAACAATTGTAACATAAACAATTTGTCCATAGACTGAGAGAGCTACTTCTCATCAGTAATATTTCAAATATACAATTGCCAAAACTTACCAGATTGGTCGATATACCCATGCATTACAGGTATGCACCAATCATATGTATTTTTCAGCTCGGCGGCAGCAGGCTGCAGTAAGTAGCTGTTCCACACAAACATCGAATTGAAATCTTGGGGGTGAGGGTAAGATATTCCTTTAGCCACCGCCTCTCTCTCGATTATTATATTATGTTGTAAAGTTCTTGTGATATTGTAAGAATAACTGAAGTAAAATGATCGCGTCAAGTCGAGATTATTGAGAATTCCAAGGAAGCGTGCTTCTTCGGTGTGATTGGTATCTGGTTTGAAGCGTGAGCTGGAGCCTGTGGTCAACGGCACCAGTTCGGTGCCGTCAATGGAATACACAAAATGACCTCCAATCATAGCCACTTGACTCCTTTTTGTGATCAAAAGCATGTAATACGGGCCGGTAAATCTGATGAAGCCAAGTAGACCCCAGGTGCTGCATCTTAGGTGCAGGCCTCCTGTACCCTTATTACCGTCATCAATAGCATTCAGCAATTGGCTCATCTCTTTCTTGGAATACACAATATCGTCCTCTGCAATGCTCAGACTTCCCGCATCAGCAGTCCTATCGATCTTTAGGATTCGAAAACGGGAGTCCATAATATTAGTTCCCACGAGATAGTACCGAGTCGTAGTCTCGTACAGGGAAAATTTATGCATCTTGCATACGCCTTGATCCCCAACCTTCCCATATCCAGCCCCCTTATTCCTCCTAGTATCAGAGCCAGGACTCGGAGTCCGCTGGAAAGGGGGTGCGGTAATGTCGTCGTCGTCGGTATCCTCGCCTGCCATCCCTTGGGTATTATGAAGAAGTGGGGTGGTCTCCGGGATTCGGGGGTCATGGTCATCTGGCTCGGCACTGATGAAATCCTTAACCAGCGGGGAGGTCATTGCTGACGTAGACCTGGAGGTAGTGTCATTGTCGACGGTGGATGTCGATGCCACGCTGGGCGTGTTGAGATGTACATGATTGTGATTGCTCGAGGCGTCGTCTGCCGCTGGGGCTGGGGCTGGAGCTGGAGCTGGGGAACGGCCGCGAGCGGCCGCCGAGCTCGAGCTTTCCTGCGGATCGGCCATCTCATCCCGTCGTTATCGTGTGTGCAGGTTATGGTATTTGCATCATCAAATCGTGGGGCATAGCTACAGCGATGCTGTACTGGTAGGGCGCAAGCTCGATTTTGAGGTCGGGGTCGATATCAAGTTCGTCCGTTCTGCCGCTCGGCTAGTGTTGTCGACGAAGTGAGTGAGTGTTATTGGTGTTAACTGTTAACTGTTAACTGTCGATGTTGATGTTGACATCCAAATTCCTTGAAGCTGTCGTTATCGTTACCGGTCCCCTGGTTATCGGATATCGGGGATAAGAAACCCAGCCGCTAAGCCCTGTGGGGCCCCACGTGACAGCGACGGCGTTACCCGATTGGGATGCCGACGGCGACAGGTCGAGTGTCGACATCCCGGTCATTTACTCGTGGGGGCCGCCCAAGTTGCATGTGAAAGCCAAACATTAAAGGCTTCGTCTCCCGTCCCTTCGCTTTTCCCTTTTTCCCTTTCCCACGTCATCCCAGCGGTATATATTCCATCATGTTCAAATCTACTCTGGATCCTTCATTTTTCTGATGCTTCATGCCTAATGCCTCTTCTATGGCCATGTCGGATGCCAATCATCAGGCACAGACCGCGATGCTTGATCAAAAGCATGATATAATTCACCGTCAGTGCCCCCACCCCCTGACATGACATGTGAAGGTTGCCGCGATATTAACAGAGTGCCGCAACAGATATTCTCAACGAAGAAGACGTATGTGTACCGGGTAGAGATGTATTATGCAGTGCAAGCACTGTGATAATGATGATTGAGTGCTGATTTTTGTTTTATTTCAGCTATATAAGGTCCTCGGTGCTCCGAGGACTGCATCTGCCTCAGAATTGCGACGATGTTACCTCGACCGATCGAAAATCTGCCACCCAGATAAACCTCCTTTCCACCCATTATCAACCAGGTATGGATATGGACCCAAATATGCGCGCTGAATATTCCACCCATTTCTAACGTACCAACCTCACAGCGCGTTCCAGCGACTTGGTTTTGCATTCGATATCCTCAAATCCGCCAGAACGCGACGAACCTACGACCGAGCCTCCAAACCTACCTCATCACAATTACCCGATAAAACAACATTCTTAGGCGGCGATCACACCTTCCGCAGCGCCGTCGAGGCCATCCTTCATGAATTCATCACTGGGGATTTTGTTATAGTCCGAAGATTCCTCGAGTCCTTACACGCACAATACCCCAACCTTGTCAGCGAAGAAGTGGTTGTAAATGTCAACCGGAGTTTCGTGCGCATTCGAGAACTTGTATTGACAACAAGAACATATGCATTGTTAATATACATCGAGCTTGGAAGGATCCATCGCGTGCAGAAGCGCCTGATGGGCTTGGGGTACTTAGATGTGGTGGGCAGGGCGAAACTTACAATTCATCTTGTCAGAGTTACACTTGCGGTTCCCATGCGTGTAGACCGCGCTTTGAAGCAGAGAGAAGAAAAGGCATGGATGGCCGAGGTTGCAGGATTACAGGCGAGAGGCACCACGCCAACAGACACAAGAGGGAAAGCAGGCATACTGAATGAAAGGGTCAGTAAGGTCTTGGAGTTTATTGTTGGAGCTGCCGGCGAAGATGACGGTGCGGATGAAGCGTGGGGCTTCAACTTAGGAAAGGTACCTCCAAGGAGGACCTAACGAGGGATTGCTTTAATGGTCTAACTTTAGCGGCATTCGGGTCAAGGTTAAGGTTGCGAGCTAGGTGTTATGGTGTTCTGGTGGAATAGGAAAATTATTTGCAGTTGTCTTTGGACAGTCTGGATATGGGGTTACACTTTACATCAAGCGTTGCCTGGATTTTTGTTTGGTATACGGTTACCATAGATCGCAACTCAGTAGAGTAGATGTTTCAACTCTACAATATCACTATCATTTAACAAGCTCAATATAAAATTACCCGTGGCTTATTTGGATCATATCTTTCAAGCATAGTCACTATTGCGTTAAGAGTTGGCTTATTACTTATACCAAAAACCCGAGTGTTTGGGATCCGAGTCAGGGGCGTGGTGCTCAAAGGGCTGTTGACGAGCGAGGGTTTAAACTATTGAATTATACTCAGTGTCCGAAATGTGGGCTCAATATCCGAAGTGCTGTAAAATAATATAAATCTGAAGATAAAATTGGAATTCTCATTGCAGGAGCTCGATTTCCAAGTCTCATCTATTCCTAGGGCAGCCTAGAGACCGGTGACGACCGGCAGAACTGTCCAAATCCACCCTGACGCGCCGCCTGGGGCATCCGATAAGCGATTAGGAGTGGGTGATAAACAAAAACAACCAACCTACAACCTCCTCTACCGCAACAGCAAACAGTCCTGTAGGGCAGATCCAAGGGCTTTCGGCCTGAAATGTGATCCCCCAACATGAGCGAGCTTGTCACATATCTCCAAAATAATGAAGCTCATTTCCGCAAGTCAGTCCTCGCCTCCCGAGCTTTCCCAACCCTCTCCTTCCGCTTTACAGCTATCAACTAACCACACAATAACATCTAGAGCCCGTTTCGCTGCCCTCTATTCAGACTTTCGACCCCTCCGTACCCTCAACCCAGATGGCTACAATGCTAACATATCCGCCTGGCTGAAAGGCCTCTCATCCGCAACCCTCGCCGGCGCTGTACCATCCTCCTCAGCAAAGCCTAATCTACTCACCCTAACTATTGACGAAGATCTTCTCCGCGCACTAGACACGAAAGAATGGGGCCGCCCACTTGCACTTGGGGTGGTGATTAGGGAAGCTATGGCGAGGAGGGAGATGATAAGCTTAAAGGAGTTCGAGGAGAGTGAAGAGAGTATTTATACACCTAAAAGCGGGTGGGGTTTGGCAATTCCGCTGAGCCCATGGGGTGTTTTGAAGTGGGGTGTTAGGATGCTGGGGCTCGGTGGAGGTGTTAACGAGGACAAGCTACTAGTTGAGAAGGTGGTAGTGTTGAGCAACGTAGAGGAGGCAGGGAGGGAGCTTGTGAGGAGGGCGGATGGGATTAGAGGGAGGACTGAGAGGGTATTCTCAATGACGAGCTTTAAAGAGGCGTTTGGAGATGTGTTAGGAAAGGAGAGGCTGTTATCGGACTATGATTTTGGAGTCTTGTTGAGGTTCTTGGAGAGAGATAAGAAGGTGCTGGCTTATGATGGGGAGACTGTCAAGTTGAAGGCCCCTGGGGAGGCAGAACCGGGCCCAATTACACCCGAGGATACGACAATCGCGTCATTGAAGACTCTGATCAAAGACTTGGAGCGACAGACCGAGGTCTTAACTGCAAAGGTAGACGAGCTGGGTAGTACAGCAAAGGATGCCGTGGTTCGGAAGAACCGGGTAGCGGCTTTGGCAGCTCTTCGATCAAAGAAACTTACTGAGAGTACTCTTACGAAAAGACATGCTACGTTAGGACAGCTGGAGGAAGTATTCTCCAAGATCGAACAAGCAGCAGATCAGGTGGAGCTCGTCAGAGTCATGGAGGCCAGCACCCGCGTACTTTCTGGCTTCAACAAAGAAGTTGGTGGCGTGGAGAGAGTGGATGATGTGGTGGATCAATTGCGAGAACAGATGAGCCAAGTTGATGAAGTTGGCAATGTCATCGCTGAAGTTGGACAAGGCACTGCGGTTGTGGATGAGACAGAGGTCGATGATGAATTTGAAGCTATGGAACGAGAGGAGAGGGAGAAGCAAGAGAAGAAGGAGCAGGCAGAGAGAGAGGAGAGGGAGAAGCGGGAAGCTGCTGAGACGAGGCGGAGATTGGATGCTTTGGAGAAAGTGGAGCGGGAAGCTTCCCGGGCTAAAGAGAGTGCAACTAAGCAGAAAGACGAGGCAAACACAGAGCAAACGATCGAGGACAGCACGAATCAGATGAAGAGGATGTCTCTAGAACCAACACAGGCCCTGGAATAGGCTACGGCACGAATTACAAGTCGCGGCGGCGTTGGTGCTTTCGGAGTGACGGTATTTGGTTTCTAGCTTTGCAAGAAGCAAGCTACGGTTGTGGATTTGTTATTGTAGTAATATCTATGTCCTTTTCCTTCTCAAATATTGGTATACTGTTCGAATATTGTGATGTAGGGGCCTGAGATGTAGGGTTGGAGAGACCAGGCTCGTCGAAGAATCTACTCTTCGAGAAGGGGGTCATTCCAACGACATTTACAGCGTCTGGCTGCTGATCTGGATGGTGTTCGTCCTGTTCCTCGCCACCAGCTTCCATCATACTTACATTTGCTGGTCCTTGGCTCTTTAACGGATTACCTGCCCCGCGAATTGGCGTAACTGGGGGTTCAAGAGGTGGCGTTGGCCTTGAAGGAGAGTCTGGGGTAGCAGCCTTGGCGCGTACTTTGCTCCGTGCATTGGCTATGAGCTCCTTAAAGGAACCGTCATGTTGCGTTGACCATGCAGCTTTGTCGAAATCTCTATCTCTTATTTGTGCTCCGGGATTCAGTGAACTCGTCGCCTGCGCTCGCGATCCTTGGGTGCGCTCCCATGTGTCTAACTCCCTCTTCAATTCGGTCTTCCCCTTCGGATGTGTGGCATCACAGTTTGCATTCCACAAAGTGACCCATTCTGTATATCTGCGCTCCATTCCTTGCCTTGTTCCTCCGGCGGGAAGTCCAAGGTCTGCCAGCTTCTTCCGGAGAGCATTATCCTTCACCATGGAGTAATGGAGTTGAGCCAATCTCTCAGGTCTCTTTGTAAGGTTTTGTAACGACTTTGAAGGGCTTATCGGGAATGTACTCTTTTCGTTTCTCCGTGTTGGGGGTTCGTCCGCGCAACCGCGGTCTATATGCGTGTTGATCGTCTCTTGCTTGACTTGTTTATTACAAATAGGGCATTGGACGCAGCCTTCTTCTAGGTAGGGTGTATTAGCAAATTTACATCCAAGATTACTTGGAAATGCATACCAGGAACAAAGTCCCCATCGTCTAGGTCCGAATCGACCACGTACACCTCCTGGGTAGCTCGTGTTATCCGCGAAGATCTAGTCCTCTTCCTCGGCGGGGGCTTCTCATCATCATCCAACTGTAGATCCTCCCGACTCCTTTTTGGTGAAGTAACTCCAGAGTTAACCGACTTCTTTGCAAGAGCAAATATCTCCGGCCTGGCTGTCTTGAAAGCCTCAACCAGCTCCTCCACAGCCCCATTGAACCGAAGCCGAAGTTCTTGGTCTACCGTTCGACAAGCCGGGCACTTCCCATCATTGTTCAGGCACCGTCTTATACACAATGAGCAGAAGGTGTGTGAGCACGACGTAATCATAGGCGTCGTGTAGAAGTCTTTGCACACTTGACATCTGAGGGCTGAGTCGACCGCTGCGACGGAACGGAGGGGCGTTTCTAGCCAGTCTGTGGAGTCGGAGACCTCGAGGGCTTCGCGTTTGGACATGCTCGGGCTTCTTTCAATATTTGGATTGGGGTAGTGGCCGCTGTATCTCAATCGAATGTCTGTAGATTTGAAGTTGACGCTCCTGGGGACAGTACTGGATAGGTAGTTTGCCTGGGAAAAGGTCCCCCGAGGTGGTTTGGGTATTAACTATTGAAAAAGGTGCATAATCACGAATAAGCAAGCTAAATATCATGCAATAAGAGGTTTCCAAACTTTTGGGATATCGAGGCTGAGCTTCAAGAGAGGTTGTAAGAGGCCGAGCAGGAGAAGGCTGAAGGTCGAGAATGTCGCGTAAAGTGGTTCGCGTCGAAAATCGCGTCAACCCAACAGCTCCGAGATTCCCTGAAATCACAACCGCAACACGAGATCACAATGGCAGACTATAAGAACTATTTAGCGGCGAGGATACTAACGGAGGATAAAGTGGTAAGTCATTTACTCGAAATCTTTGGTTTGCTACTACTTACACTGACTGTAGGTCACATATCGACTGCTCAGCCGAGCTGTCAAGGTCCATGTCAACACCGCGAAGGAGTGAGTATTTCACCGACATCCCGGGCAAGTATTTATACTAAGGGTCACAAGAATGCTCTATGAGTTCCATAGTCAACAGAATGCAAAGAAACCGGGAACCATCCACGCAACCTATATTGTCAGCGGCACGAAACGAAAGGAGGAACCGGCCACACATGCAGGCGTGAAGAAGGCTGGCGAGGATGAATATATGCAGAGCAGTCCTTTCATGGGCAGTTCCATGCCTCAGACGGAAGATAATACAGAGGAGTGTTCGGTACTAAGCATATGTCTGACCCGAGAGGAAGATTTGGAGGGTACTGTTATCTCTCCACCTGCACGAATGTTATGGCATACTGACTATACGCAGGCTTGCTCGCTCAATATGAGCAGGTTACTTCAATACATATTTATAGTCTTGGGCCCCATCCACTGAAGGTAATAACTGCCCAAGTAGGTCTCAAGCAAGGCTTATTCGATGTAGGACCTACAAATACTGTCCGATGTAACGCGTGAGATTCAAGAGCTATCCGCAAATGATGATCCCCTCGAATCTTCCGCAAAGTATGGCACAATAGTGAACCCACGAGCTCGACGACGAGCCGTGCGGAGACCACCTCCGGCCGCAGTACCAGTAAAACCCGAGCCTTCAAAGGCCAAACCCGCCGACCCAAAAACAGCTCCAGTTCCCAAAACCGAAGAACCAAAGGCACAGCCTTCAAGTGCCAAAGAATTCTTTGGCAAAGCAAAAGAGAAGCCAAAACCAGGCAACGCCTCTAGCAAAGAATCAACACCAAAACCCCCTCCAGCACTCAAACGCGACTCATCCAACTTTTTTAAAGCTTTCGCCAAGGCGAAACCAAAAGAGGGAACAGACAGTTCAGCCGCAGCATCCCCAGCTCTCAGCGCGGCAGAGGATGAGCCGATGAAAGATGTATCGGATGACGAAGAGGAAACATATGTCCCACCACCGCAACCTTCGAAGGAGATTGTGGATAGTGATCGAAAGAAGAGAAAAGAAAGAGAGGAGGCATTGAGAATGATGATGGAGGATGACGAGGACGAGGAGCCGGTCGTTGCCGAGAAAGTAGAAGCCGTTGAAGAAGAGGAGCGCCCCAAATCAAAATCCGAGTCTGTCGAGGCGAAGGAGGAGCCTGTCGTAGCTGGTGATGGAAGGAAGAGAGGGAAAAGACGGGTCATGAAGAAAAAGGCTACTAAGAATGCGGAGGGATACTTAGGTGAGTTTCTCTGGCGTTATTCATATATGGGACGCATATGCTAATTTAAATACAGTTACAAAGGAAGAGCTCGTATGGGAATCATTCTCCGAGGATGAACCTGTTGCACCGCCGAAGTTAAAGACGCAAACTTCCGCAACAGGAACAAAGGGGAAGAAACCAGCTGCGAAGGCGGGCCAGGGTAGTATAATGTCGTTCTTTGGGAAGAAATGAGCCGGAAAGTCGGAGTATCGTATAACTAATGTTGTGACAGGGACAATATAACTAGTATATTTTACCTAGGAGCATAGAGTCTAAACTTCACAAAGCATCACCCAGCTAATAGGGTTTATTCTATGTTATATCTCTGACGACAGTGGGAGCTTGACCTCTGGCTATTCACGATCTTCGGTTGTAGTCGAATTACGATTGAAACGAGTCTAAATCGCGACGAGCCATATTGTATGAGACATATAATTTGTGAATGCAAATACATGAATAAATACCCTGACCCGTGTAAACGCCGATTCTAACCCGCCCAGATCCCCGGTCTTAATCATTCAACTATATACGGTTCAGCTCCAGGGCCGAATATTAAATGCGGCTTCCTCTGTGCCAAATCCAAGATCGTTTGTGCAAAGACGCTATTTGCCCCTATAAATATCGTTAGTTCCTTCGTCCTTGTTTCCTTTCGTTAGTTTAAATGCTAGACTTACAAGCAAACCAACTCCCTATTTGTAAATTAGTCCATGTCATTTCTAACAGGGGTGGTAGGAGAACTTACTGGTATAATCCATTATTCTATTTACATTGATTGATTCATGTACTAGCCCGAGCCTGCTGGCTGTCAGTACCAGTTTAACACATTCCATGATTTCTTTATCATCGTCCGAGGTCATGGCTTGAAGTAGCAAGCTCATAGGCCATGCGTACTCGAGGCCAACATGCGGTCCTACGCCTCGTTAGTAAGTATACGTCTAATGAAGCAGGTAAAGTGGCCGAATAAACGTACCTCCTATCCCATGAAATGCTAGTCCTTCAAGATAGTAAGGATTCCCTGCCTTCTCCAACAGCATTTTTCGAGTATTCTGGTAGACTTCATCGGTTCTATCCACAAACCCTAGGATCGGAAGCGCCAACAAAGATGGCACATTCGCATCGTCCATGATAATTTGGGAACCCCAGCCATCCACCTCGAACGCAAAAACACGGCCATATTTTTTATGTTCCACCACGCCGTATTCCCAAATACCATCAGTAATGAGCTGTGCACGCTTTTCTAATATCTGAGAAAGCTTAATGTTTTTAGCAGTTCTCAGGACGTCTGCGGCCCGTTTTAGCTCAACGGCCATTTGGGCATTGGCAGGGATATAGAAGCCTAGAATGGTGGCATCGTCGCTGGGACGAAATGCGCTTCTTATCAAACCAGTGCCGAAGTTAAGGGGATTCCCAACGCCGTCAAGAGATAGGGTTTCGGTGCCCGTGGCTGTTTTTCGATTGAACGTATATGCATTTCTGATATATCTTCCGGTCTTTGGATCGAATGTGGATTCGGATTGTTGGTCCAAGACCTCCAAGACTGTGTCCAGGGCTTTATACCATCTTGGGGTCAGGAAGTCTAATGATCCTGTATGCTTGTGGAATGTATTTCCTAGAGCGAGGAAATGCGCCAGAGAGTCGAGCTCATATTTGCACTCAAAGACAAACGATGGCTCATATGCTGGATGGACATAATCTTCCTGCCCATTTTGACTAGCAGCAAGCTTCGATGCTGGCGGCGGCTGGAACGCATTGCAGTACGGCGACTCAATGACATACTCCGATTGTGTATTTATGGCTCCCAGTATCAAATTGAAGATCTTCTTGTCCTTCTTTGCCAGCGGCTGGTATTGGAGAAGCTGGTTTGTGGAATCGCGTAGCCATTCGGCGTTGATATCGCCCGTAACAACGAAGGACTGTGGCCCTTGCCAGCTGTCCTTATCCTTGGCGCCGCGGCCTTTCAACTCGGTATGCTTTTGTGTCCCATCCACATGCCATCGGACGGTCGTATCAAGGGTATTCGGGAAAGCGTTTTCGAACAGGCGCGCGAGATCTTTGTTCACCATCCTCCCCGTGATATCCTCAATAACCTTCTCGACAAGTGGGGAGGAAAACGTCCGACAGTATTTCGAGGGCCGTTGGAAGGGCAGGCCCATTGGCCCTTCTGAGAAAGGAGGGCTTTGAGCTGTTAGATGGCTAGCGCTCTAACGCAGGAATTGGTAAACGTACTGGTTGAATACGGCATATCTTTTATAATCGGGACATGCCCTCGAATAGTCCCCTTCCTTTGGAATACCCTCGGGAATGGACGAAGTCGCAGCGGCCACCCAAACCCCTAGCACGAGTAACCACGGTTTAAATTCGAATAGCGACATGGCTACGACCATTTCAGATTCGAATAGATAGATAGTGTCTCGACATCAAGGACGCCTGGCGCAGACAATCATGGGGAGCTGGACGAAGTGAGGTAGATGTAGAAAGCTTGGCTTGACGTACTGTACACGCCTGCGCCGCCAAGGTTGCGAAAATGGCAATAGAAAAGGCGCAAAATCCCCGCGCTTCAAATTAGACGCAGATGTGGCCGTTAAGGTGGTTTTATGCCGAGGATTTATATTCTGGCTGATGTGGTTGTGGTGACTTAACCAGCTGCCGTTTCTCATATAAAGTGGACCTGGAGCCGAAGCCTTGGGGGGCAAGGCTGGCTGGGCTTCCCGGGGAGCTCTATTGGTACGGAGTACAACCACTGTACGAGTACACCCCGCGCTCGAGAGCTTTGCCATCAATAAGCACAACGCTTTATTCTAAACCGATATCCAACAGAACGGACAAGACTACGCTATTACTGTCCTGAACAGCGAGTAGAGGTAATGTTAGATATATATGCGTCACTCGTAGGTGCTGGCTCTCGTACAGAGATATGAATCGACAAACAACCCGTAACCAATGCAATGACATCAGAGAAGGCGCGTACAAATTGGCCACTCTGAACAAGTGCGTACCTGACAGCGGCAGAAGAGTCAAAGGCCTTATCCCAGAGCTGTTTTTTCCTTTTTGGCCTTTATTTCCTTTACCTATAAAATAAAACAAAGTAGACAACGTAGACAAAGCCTTCTTTCATTTCAAATATTATTATATTACATTGTTTGTTTAACCTTAGAGTCTTTATATTCTTTAGCTATAAATATTTACTAGCTCCGTACATTACACAATATCACTCCATCACCACCACCACTACTACCTCCACCATTACCACTACCATCACCACCCATCCTACTCTATAACTGTAATTATAAGTACTAACTCATATAATCGTATTAGGGCTATATTATTAGACATTATAGAGTAAGTACTACAAGATAATATTCCAAATCGTCGATACCCAGACGGTCTAGATATGGACCAAATAATGAAAGACCTTGCTGCTACCATAATAGAACTAAGAAAAGGGTTGGAGCAAAATATGATAGATACTATGGAGCAACTCGAGGCAAAAATCGCCGAAGAAGAAGCTGAGAATGGGGTTGACTCGCCCGAGGCCCTGGCTCTGAAACGTCGTCTAGAGATGTGCAAAACTGCATCCGCTGAACTCTACGGAAAGGAAGACGAGGCTAAAGGCTAAAGGATATAGGTATAGGGTTTATGAGAGTGTACAACAGAACGTGTCGGGGGAGCAGTTTTCATAGACTTAGACTTTTCATTTTATTTTCGTATTTCCTCTAAAAATAAATATATGCAATTTGTCATATTTCTCGTTCTCATTGTCTCATTTCTAGCGGTACATGTATCCGGTATATGCATCCTCGGATAGTTCAGGGTATCTAAAACAAAAAAAAGGCACGGGGTATCTAATCTAACTTATGTACAAGGTCATGCCTATGGAGAGCTGGACATTCGCTTGAGGCGGAGGGCAGGAGACAACCGCTCTCTCATCAGCTTCAACAGATCGCCGATGAGGTATGGTTTCGAGATAACGGCGTCCTATATGGTGTTATTGTCAGTAAATGTCCTAAACCCAGTGGAACATTTAGATCAGGAAGTCAACTTACAGCACCAGCAGCTAGAGCCTTCTGGATCTGCTCTTCCCGCGCGTTCGCCGTGGTGGTGATGATCTCGATATGGGTTGTTAATTTGCCGACTTTCTCAAGCTCGCGAATCTCGCGAATGCACGTTAAGCCATCCATGATAGGCATTTCCCAATCCATCAATATAATATCCAGGTGTTTGCCAACCGAGGTGCTCTCGTGCCACAAGTTGGTTTCCCGGAGCCGCTGGAGCGCATCTAGGCCATGATTTGCAACTTCAACGACGCAGCCCTCCTTTGCTAGTCGTTGGGCGAAAACCGTTTGTATGAGCTGGTTGTCTTCAACGATTAGGACGTGCATGCGGTTGAGATCGTGCAAGGCCTTTGCTATGGGCGTGGACATAGTCCTTAGCGGCGATGGAGCCTTCTGAAAGTCGTGGATCGATGGGTCCGCGGCGGGCGGCTCGGTATACTGAGCTTTTACATAGAACGCGAAGAGACTGCCTTCGCTTGGTTCCGAGAGGACCCCAATCTCACCCCCCAGCTTCTCTGTGAGTTGCTTTGAAATAAAGAGACCCAGGCCCGAGCCGCCATATTTTATAGATGTCTTCGCGTTGGCTTGCACAAAGCGGCTGAACAATCTCTGCATCTCAGCAGGAGTCATACCCACACCTGTATCCTTGACTGTCAAAGTCAAGTACAGCGGCGGACCATCTGAGGGCTCCTGTGGCGTCGTTGCACTAGCCGCCTGCTCATCTATTGGTGCCCAGTGGACCGCTGCCGGGAAGGCCTTGCGAGGCTCTGATGTTACAGCCCCATACCTGACGGTGATCTCCCGCTTGCTCTCTGCTTTGGTAAATTTGATGCCGTTGGTTAGGAAGTTAACTAGAATTTGTGATAGACGGGCAGGATCACACACAACCCAATCCACATTATTGGCCTTCAGCGACGGTTCGGCGACGGCTGAGGCATGAATATGGTGAGCGAGCATGTCCGATTCAAACATTTTTAGCATTGAATCAACCACGTCCGGGAGCTGCATGGGCTGAGGAGATATTGAGAGTATCTGGTACTCAAGTTTCGAAAGTGTCAAAACGTCGTCAATGATGCGCTTTTGAAGCTTCGCCGCTGACATGATAGTCCTCGCACAGTCAGCATTGCTCCTCAGAGTCTCCAGAAGCCTTTCTTCGGTGATACCCTTCCCCTGGGCTTCTGCCAGGGAATGTGTTATCGTATCTGCACTTGTATAGATGGCCGAGAGTGGGTTGCGCATTTCGTGTGATACCATGTCAATGAATTCTTCTTGCTGTCTCTTGGCGTCGGCTGCAGCAGTAGCTTTACGAGCCTCGGTTCTTTCTGCCCATTTCAAAGCAGATATATCAGACATACATGTCACTACAACGGTCAGCTTGCTCAGTGAATAGAACAGAGGGCATTTTTGAAATGTGGATTGGGCTATTAACCATGGATCCGGAAGCAACTGGAACAGGATGGGAAAACTTCAACAGTTGCAAACAATGTGTTCACGACAATCATAATAACTGTAAAAGAGTACTTACTGACTGACTTGACCTTGCCATTTTCCAGGTAAGGAAAAGAGTGCGACAGTATGCACGAGGGCTCTGGGTCTCCAGACGGTGGTGTGAACAGCTTGTTCAGATGTAACTCCGTGGAAACATTTGGGGCCCCCCCTATGAGTCTCTTCCAGGCCTCCTCAGCCTTTGCATGATCTTCATCAACATAAATTTCTAGATGTGATGATCTGCTTAGTGGTATATTTTGGCCATCATATTCTGTTAGCTTGTGATATTGCTCATTAGCCCATAACATAGCACCATCAATCGATGAGTGCAACATCCCGACTGACGCATTCTGCGCCATGAAACGGATCTGTTTTTCGTTATTGGCAATTTGCTTCTCTAGATGCTCATTGCGTCTCTTCGCTTCTTCGACAGTTATGATGGTCGCAGCAATAGATGATACCTTTGATGCCAGCTCCCGCATGAACTGGTGATGGTCGCCGTCAATCGGTCGACGTGGATTAGCGCCAATGACCAAGAACCCAAACAATCTCCCAGCACTTGACAGTGGAAGAATGCTGAAGCTTCTGCTTGGCTCACCAAAGCCCTGCCATTGGACGCCCATAAATTTTTCATCGACGGGAAGAGTGATCGCACCTCCACGTGCGATCGCCTGGCGGAGAACGGACACGAGCCCCCCCGAATTATAATCATGCAAGTCGGCGTTTTCCAATGCTATCTGGTGACCAGGGGGGACTCCAATCTGGCCACAGAGTACAACAAGGGATGTGTCTGGGACGGTGTGCTCGTCTATTTCATAAAGGAGGGCCATGGGGATGTCCAGATTGTTTGTTTCGAGGGAAGGCATTACATAGCTTGCTAGGTTTCCATGATGATCGAATCCGCTTGGGATATCCATGCTACTAAGCATGCTGGCCCTCCGATCGCTCAGGAGTTGTCGAGTAATCTCATGGGTTGAGTTGTGGAAGCCCTCCACTCTGCCGGAATCTCCTCGAATTGGAATTAAGTTGCCGGTAAAGTAGGTCTCCTGGACCAGGCCGTCGCGCTCAATAGCAACTTGATCCTTCATATCTATTGCGGAGCCCCTCTGCTCGGCGGCATCACAGAAAGAAAGGATTCTCTCCCACATCGTTGGAAACCCCGAGGTAAGAGGGGAGCCCATAAGGGCAGGGTGTGCCTTGCCTGCGAGCGGCGCATAGGCGTCATTGTAGATAGCGATTTTCTTATCTCCCCCTGCAAAAAATGTGTTAGCCAGATGTAAGTCGTGGGTGGATGAGAGAAGGCGTGAGAATGAGCTTAGCTGGCAGCTTTGGGGCCACAGGGACATATTGCACTTACAGAACAGGCATGCCGGTTGGGAATCCGTAAGTACTCGGACAACAGAAAAGCGAAGTATCTGGTCCCAGGACTCGAGCGGTCCCAACGGCGATGCAGGCCAGTCGCCGGAGAGGAAGAGTTTAACGTGGTCTGTGTCTGGAAGATAGTCGAACCAGCGAGTTGGTGAGAAGGGAATGGCTTGGGGTCGGAGGGGAAACGATTGTGGCTTGCGGCGGTCTCCGTGATAGCGACGGTCACTGTCGCCATCACCTTTCGCTCCCCCACGGTCCGTCTCAAGCCCCTCTGCAGAGGGCATGGTGATATCTGTAGATCCTCCCCCGGCGGATCGGCGGGTGAAGCGGAGGAAAGGGAGACCGCACCAAGCAGCAGCCCGGGGTGGCTGGGAGGGAGCGGCACTGTTTGAATGCACAGAACGGGTCATCCCCTAACGCATGGCGAGATCGGTCACATCGACGGGAGGCAGGCATGCGGATGCGATGCAGGAGCAAACTGGTGCATGTAGCGATGGACGCGGATGTTATTGGTAGGACGTGGGGCAAGGGATACCGCTGCTGGTGGAGAGGTTGTTTGTTGTGAACGTGAAAGTGAAAAGGCCTTCTTGCGCGTTGAGTATCTTCAGTTCGGGTTCTTCGTAGGGTAGGATTGCAAGGTGTACGGAAGTATTCTGGCAAAGGGTAGACGGAAAGGCGGCTCGGGCGGCTATTTGGACTTTAGCGCCTTGTCGGCCCAAGGTTGTGGAGTGGGATAATATCGACGTCTCCCCTTATAGGTGTACCTTGGTAGGTTGCGGAGGCTCCACAGATCTCAAAAAGAGGAGAAAACGTCCATCTGGATCGAGAAGACAAAAAGGGGTCTTTTGGGCAATACATAGTGACTGGGCATGTACATGTAATGCAATATGCAGATTAGGGCACTACAACTCCAGAGACACGCTAAGCACTTGATTACGATGCCGTTTTCTTCCCCTTACGTGTTTATTTATTTTTGTTGTTGCATTTGAAGCATCAGACGGCGCCCTGCAGCCATGTGGCTTAAAACGCTCCGCATGACGTCAGTGCTGGGCACCCCTTGGTAAGCAAGCCGAGGTATTGCCGCTCCTGGGAATCTTATTAGTAAGCATGAACCCAAGACAAATTGCAGGCACAGCTGCAGCTGCAGCTGCAACTACTCCGTACAACCACAACTATGCGTTCGACCGTCTAAGCTATCAAATCCCCAGAGTCCACTGCCCGTTGCCCGTTGCGCTTTCAATTTTCCTTGAGCTGGGTGTTAGGATTAGTCGTGGAAATGAAACCAAACAATCGATGTCGAGAAATTGTGCAACGTGGCCAGGATACCTCCGCGGAATTGCGGTGCTCGGACAAGTGATTGTTCAGGCGACAACGGCCTCCAGTGCAGACATGCAATGGCATTCGAGAGAGCCGTGTGAGCTAATGTGTTCACTCAGTGGTGGATGCGAAAAGTCCATCGTCCTGCTCGAAGCATCTCGTTAGTAGGCACCGATGAAGGCATGTCTGAACCTGTCTATGTGTGTCTTGTCTGTGTCTATTGGAGTCCATCAGACTTATCCGAGTAGTCAATACAAAGTCACAGCGGATTGGCGTATGGAATGCGCTTAAGTGAGTGGATTTGGGTTTGTGATTGCTGGGTATGTTCATCGGTTGCGCTGGAGCTGAAAGTTGCCGTTGGGCGTTTCCTGAGGTTTCAGTGCAGGTGTCTTCAGTTGAATTTGACGAAGTCCCCTTTCGTTGAAGGAGGCCGCTTTGGTTGAGTTGTCAAGTGATACAGCTACTGGGCTATTCTCACCTACCTAGGGCCATTCCTCTAAAAATTTAAATTTCCAACTATCCCACTCTAGTTTCTCTTCAGCGAACATCATCTTCTCTCGAGACATTAGAATGCACGGATTCTTTCATTTTCTAACTTCTTACGCACTTTAATTCTCAGTCCCCCAGGTACCATGGTTGATGCTAGCCTTGAGGGTATGGCATTTAAAGCCGCGCCTCCGGAACCGTGATCCTTTTGAACTCACTCTCCGTATGCCGCCAAATGTCTTCTGGCAGTCCTTTCTCCCGGTACCCAGCCAACAGCTTCTGTACTGCAGCAGATGCACTCTCACAATCCCACCCGACCGAATAAACACCGCTTCCAGCACCAGTAGTCCCCTGCGCTACATCAAACCCATCTCCCAGCGGCACGCCAGAGTTATCCCCATCGCCGCTCGCAGGCGGAAACCTAGCACTCGTTGCCAAATAAAGGTGCCTTTCACCACTCTCCTCAAGCGGCACACATATCCAGCGGCCGAAGAAATATATAGATGCCCTAGCAATATATCCCAATATGCCCGGCATATTCTTAGTGAGCGCGGTGGACACCGTGCCAGGATAGTCATGCACGAAGCTGACTTCTGGTGCATTCCTCGCAATACTTTCAAGTCCGAGAGTTATGAGAGTGGCAATATGGCCACGGATTGCGATGAACCGGATACGGAGGGCTGGGAAATCGGTAGAATCCAGCTTGCCTTCGATACCGCCTCCGGCGACTGTAACCACACGGCGGAGTCCAGACGCGCGTTGAAGAAGAGGGAGGAAATTAGTTATGAAGCGAAAGCGAGAATAGAATGTTAAGGCGGCTAACAAGTGGAGGTGCTCGGAGGTTTCTGTACCTACTGATCAGCATGGAGTTCTTTATCTGCGCTTTCTGCGCATGCGCCTTCGAGATACATACCACTACGATCTAGGACCGGAAGTCCTGCGCTGAGAAATAGCAGGTTGATGGTCTTCTCCTTCGCCTTGATGCTGTCGCATACCTCGTCCACAACTCGTATTAAGCTTACGTCCGCCTTTATATATATGTACTCGCCCGCCGAATTGAGCATTCTGCACTCGGCGATAATACGATCCGCCGCATCTTGAGACCGGCCAACAAGGTAAACGCGTGGTTGGCGGGATTGTTTCGCAAATTTCTTGAGAGTTACTTCCCCAATTCCGTTGGTAGCTCCTACGAAAACTGCGACGAGTCCTGGCGGGAGGGTTGAGGGGATGAGTGCATTCGAAGACTTAACATCGGCGAGAGTAACCATTGTGAAGTTAGCTGCGTCTCAGCAACAAAATGATGGTATAGGGACCATCGGTGCCTCTAGGAATGGGCGGATATATACCCAAAAACTCATACGATTCGGAGGTTCTTATATCGGCGTTCATTTATTCGGTGTTCATTGATTTGACTCGGCGTTCAACCCCGCAGCCTCCATGAGGTCATAAGCAGAAGTTTGAGGTACTGTACTTCAAGAATTCACGTATTGACCTAGAAGGCTCTGGTACTACGTACATGAGTCTATATCAACTAAGAGTAGGAAGATCTATAGCTTGTGATTTTCGAAAGGTGATCGAGCAAGGAATAGTGGAGGAGGTACCCGCTACTATTCAACGAATACAACAGGTACCACGAGTCCACTTAAAACTAGGCTAATAAGTGTCTAGAGTATGTCGCAGTATCAGTGCGAATCTATTAGTGAGGGCAAAAACAATTAAACAAGATGAATTTTGCTGTGGTACAGAGAAATAAAGAGTTTAAAAATACACCATGCTTGAATAAAGTGCACGATTAGGTGGTAAGTATACCCTTTGTGCCAATCCCAAGGAGGATCCAACTCAGGTCCAGTAGGGATCCCTTCACCGGCTCTGTGTACTAAGTAATGCCTATAAACCAATAAGATATAGTTGTTTCGTGGTGCTTGTACTCTTGTGGCTTTTGCGAAGTTGCGACTCTCGAAAACAATACATGGGTTGCTTGCAAGCTACGTCATACGAGGCTGGCATCCCACCAAACCGGATCCAAATCCAAGGTATTCGGGGCCAATAGGTGGTGCGACCCTGAAACCAAAAAACAAACTCTCCAGCCCTCTGGCCACGATTCAGCTGGCCGACTACCCCACCCTCTTCGACGTCTACTTACTTCGTATACTTCCAATGGTACTTCCACCTCGGTCCTTAGCCATAAAACTCAGCCGATTTTCAATCGCTCTATCAACATCAACGCCGGCATCGCAATGACTACCGGAGGGCCAGCTGATGGAGGCTCCCACCCCGATGGCGAGTCCCAACATGAACACCTAAGTGATAAGATCAAGAATCCCTTCCGTGAACTACGGGAGAAGTTCAACGACACGAAGCTTCACGACTTGAAAGTTGGCCTGATTCACAAGAAGTTGGTGCACACCGCTCCCCAAGCCACAATGTATATATATGCTAACCTTTGACAGGCACACAATCGGGAAATTCGCCAATCTGGTAGGCAGACACTGAAGGTACCTGGAATCCAGACAGGTCGCTGATAAAAATTTCAGATCAATCCCAACCACCGACACGACGAGGAGCACGAGAAGGCTACCGACGAGAAGAGAGCCAAAATTGCGCAATCGCATAGATTCGAATCATTTGCGCCCGAACGGCCGGGGAATAATATAAAGTGGTATGTCGATGGAAGGGATTACTTCTGGGTATGTAGCCCCCTCGACAGGATCGTTGAGACATATTAATGATTGGTAGGCTGTCTCAGTTGCTCTCGAGCGAGCGAAGGAGACCATTTACATTGAAGATTGGTGGCTCTCGCCCGAATTGTTCTTGCGCAGACCTCCATATTTTAACCAGGAATGGCGTCTGGATCAGATTTTAAAGCGGAAAGCAGAAGAGGGCGTCAAGATATTTGTCATTGTGTATCGTGAAGTCGAGGTATGAAATTGCGAAGGTGGGCTATGGGAATCCATTTACTGATCTAAATATGATATAGGCTGCTCTCACCTGCAACTCTGATCATACCAAACGCGTCCTTGCAGCTCTATGTCCCAAAGGCTCAAAAGGCTATGGAAACATCACAGTCATGCGCCATCCTGACCATAATGTCCTTGAGAACGCAGCAGATATGACCTTCTACTGGGCACATCACGAGAAGTTCATAGTCATAGATTATAATATTGCCTTTATTGGTGGTTTGGATCTTTGCTTTGGGAGATGGGATGCTCACCAGCATGCGCTTTCCGACGTCCATCCCGCGGGTGTCGCGACAGAAGTCTGGCCTGGTCAGGATTTCAACAATAACCGTGTCAAGGATTTTCAGAAAGTCAACGATTGGAAATCAAACGAACTCTCCAAGGCCGAATATGGACGCATGCCATGGCACGATGTTGCGATGGGAGTGGTAGGAGATTGCGCCTACGACATTGCTGAACACTTTGTACTTCGATGGAATTTTGTTAAACGTGATAAGTATAAGCGTGACGACAGATATGATTGGCTAGTGTTGGAGGGTAGAGACGGCCCTGATGAAGATTTGGTTGGCGTTCAGAGGCCCAAACATCCTGTCGGAGAGTACATCCAACACCCCTTAACCCCATTGAGCGGGAAGGACCTGGGCAGTCAGCAAGGTACCGTCCATGCACAAATTGTCCGAAGTAGCTCAGATTGGTCCAGTGGGATCCTCACTGAGCACAGCATTCAGAACGCATACTCAGAACTCATCAGAAACGCTGAGCACTACGTCTATATTGAGAACCAATTCTTTATCACGGCCACTGGTGACAAACAGGCCCCGATTAAGAATACTATTGGACGAGCTATTGTTGACGCTGTTGTGAGGGCCGATAGAGAGGGCAGAAAGTTCCGTATCATTGCGTTAATTCCGTCAATTCCAGGATTTGCTGGTGATCTACGAGACGATGCAGCTATCGGGACGAGAGCTATCATGGACTACCAGTACAAGTCGATTTGCAGAGGGGAACACTCGATATTCGAGCAAATTAAGGCACAGGGAGTTGATCCTACGAAATATGTCTTCTTCTTTAACCTCAGGTCGTATGATCGTCTGAACACAACCCCAGCTATCATTGAGAAGGAAGAGAAATCAGGCGTTAAGTATCAGGATGTCCAAAAGGCAGAAGCTGAGGAGATCATGAGCACGGGTGTCCATGATGATGCAGATACCCAAAAGGGCCAGGATGGTAAATTGAAGGATACTGATTCAGGCGACGAGTCAATGCAGAAGGCAACAGATGCTAAACGGAAGTTTGAGCAGGCTGGGACTAATAAGCAGCCCGAAAGTTCCGACAGCGTTGCTAAGAATGCTATGCACAGGCAGGGAACTCTAGTTGACGAGAAATGGGATGGGCCTTTGGAGGACGAGGTCGATAAATGGATCCAGGAAGAGTTATACATTCATGGGAAAATTATGATCGTGGATGACAAGACTGTCATATGTGGAAGCTCCAATCTGAACGATCGTTCGCAACTTGGGCTCCACGACAGCGAATTGTCCATCGTTATGACGGATACCAGGACTATCAAGAGCAAAATGGCAGGGCAAGATTTCGACGCTGGTTATCATGCTGCAACACTGAGAAGATATCTATGGCGAGAACACCTCGGTCTTCTTCCTCCACAGGAACTCGAAGCGTCAGATGACCCCAATGCGCAACCGCCTGACGTTCCCAACGACGTTAAAGAAGATGAGACGTATGAATTTGTCGCCGATCCACTCAGTGACGAACTTTGGGACACATGGATGACTCGAGCAACGAAGAATACCGAAATCTTTCGACGGCTTTTCCATGCTGATCCTGATGACTATGGTATGTGACAGCAGTACCACCCCCCATTGATAAATAGACATGTTAACATTTTGGCGAATAGTGAAAAACTTTGACGACTACGATAAATTCTTACCTCCGAAGGGCATCAAGGCTGGTCATATCTATGATAGGATGATCCCACCTGATGAAATTCGCGAGAAACTTGACCAGATTAAGGGTCATCTGGTTTTGATGCCGATGGACTTCTTAAAAGATGCACAGATGGCCGAACCTGGTATGTTCTGATAATTCTTTTGATTACATCATATGCCTCAAGTTATATGCTAACTGGGAGATATAGGCTTACAAGTCAACTCCTGGACGGAAAGTGTTTACACTTAATCTGCGGTGCGCATTATCGGATTCACGAGTTTGGTAGTGATTCGTTGTTAGCTGTTATGTTATCAACATTAAAATTTAAGGTTTGCATACATGCCAGGGGTGTTTTGCGATTTGATATGCATTGGTAGGTTGTTGATTATTGGCTATCAACAAAGGGCGGCTTGTCCATCTTGGCCTTGTGGGTTTCTTTAACCATATTCAAAAACAAAATTCATTTAGAACCTCACAATCTAGTCTCTTTGTTTCGATGCCTCTATTATAATTGGGATGGCATTGTTGAATCTGCTGAGATATCCTCTTGTTTCATATATTTCTGGCCAGTTTCCTTTGTTGGCTCGATGCATCTAGCATTATGCTTTATGAACGATTCTTGCCAAGGCCATTGTTACTAGTTCACAGAATGCAGTCGCTGATACATTTGTTTTCGGGATTCATGCAGTTACCACATGAAAGAGCAAGCATATATTAAGGTATAAATACGGCGCCCGTGTTAATATCTGCAAATTAAGATCTTGTTCTTATTACACAAGTCTTATTACCCAATTCTTTCTACCCGATTCCAATATGTGGCTGATAAACAGAAAACGTAACAAAACGAGCAGTTCGCCGGGACCCAGGAGAGGAGTGCTCCGCAGATGGGTTCTCTCACCACGCCAGGAGAACCGCGCCCCAGCACCAGCGCCAGAGTGTAGATCAGCGGATTTCTTACTTCCAGCCCCAGCAATACCATTGGCGGTGGACCCTGAGACGCCAAATCGAGGTCTGAAGAGTGCCCCAAGACCCAAAGAGCATCGAAGCGAACGGCCTCCGAGACCTCAGAATGATCCAGATATGGAATTCGTTCGTGTCCAAGCCAACATGGCTTTGCTAAAATTGGATCTTGAAAACAGCGCTTCCAAAGTCCATGCTGAGATGTTGACCAGGGGCACGATTGGTCGGAATCCCGAAGGGAAAATTGCCCCGGAGCATCTCAACTCTGGAATTTTTCATTGGCAGCATTTCGTTAAAACATGTGGTAATACGAACCGCTTAGCTCAGAAGCCTGAGCCCTTCTTTCAGTATAAATTAAAAAATCTAGGCTTAAAAGAGTTGTTTGAATTGGACTATGAACTACACTCTTTCGCGAACGAGTTGGATGTTCTCACACAATGGTGGGAAACGGACTACCGTGAGTGGGTAATCCACGACATGGAGATCCAAACTTTGGAGCGGGCTCTGCTTTTGCTGAGCGCCAAAAAGAAAAAATCACAAGCTTACCTGGCTCGTACGGGATTGCCACTTGCGAGAAGAAAGGCTAAGGAGGCGGGTCTAGTGAAGGCGGTAGACGAATATAAGCTACAGGTTGCGCAGCTGCAGGAGGAGAATCGTTGGTTTGAGGAGAACAGTAAGCTTACGAGTGTAGTGGTGTCACAGTTTAATAAGTTGCGTGTTGGGGCAGAAGCTGCCAAAAGTCGCAGGTAAGTTATCAGGACCGAGTTTCACATTGTTTCCCATTTAACAGCATCAAGTGATTCTTCTCTAGCAATTTTGCATTGAGATGGATATTAAGGCTTTTAGGACACCATTTATTAGACCTTCTAAATCGCCCGGTTCAGGTTGGGAACTATGCAGGCTTGGGTGCCAATTAACAGTTTAACCTTGTGCTCAATTGCTAGAACTTTTATCAAATATATACTAATGCCTCCGCTTTTACAGAAAGCAACGAGAAGTGCTTCCGGTTGATTTCACATATGATTGGGATGGGATCGATCTACCGAGCGTAGATCACATACCCTCATGGTGGAAAAGTGAAAGCCCTCGTTGGTGGTTAACCCACGCAATCAAAGATATCGAAATGCGGTGGCATGAACTAGATGCAAGCCTCGAGGTGTGCGAAATTGAGTTTGAGCAATGTGTAACGCTGCGAAACGAAACGCGTTGCCATTTAGAACTGCTGCTCGCAAGAAGTAATATGGAGAAGGAAAATAAAGATCGAGAATCCAAGCAAGTAAATGAGCTGGATAGGGAGGTGTTACTGTTGCAAAATCTTGTTAGAGCTTGGAATCAAGAGCTCAAATTAAGGGATGGCAAGGGCATCGAATTGCGGAAACGTCACAAGCGGACCACATCGCTCCTCGCATTTGCGAAAGACAACTCTCACCATGCTCAACTGATGGAGAGCGACTGGGCGACGATGGGAGGGATTCCAAAAGATGACGCTTTCCATTACGTGTATGTCTACACTATCATTAGTCTGCAAGCGTTTCGGTCGGACATGCTTGAACAACTTCAGGAGGCTCTCGACCGCAAGGACTTTCCCCATGACGCCAAACTCTGGATTTTGGGTCGGATTCGTAGCCACACGGAAGCTTTTACCGATAGCCAGAAGTGGGTTTGTGAGTTGCCTCATACGGATATTTTGCGCTATACGGACATTGTTGAGAACGCAATCATACGCCTAGCTGAGGAGTGGGACTCACTGTATAAGATAGTTGGTGATGCAGAAGAATGTCTCAAAATTGCGGAAGAATTCATAGCTAGCCCTTTCCAACCTCTAACAATGGCTGGAGATATTAACTTCGATGCTGGTGAGTTGTCGAGTCCGGTGGTGGGATCAAGTAGATCATTGGGGAATGCCCAACCAGCCCACAATTACCAAGATGTCCTCAACGAAATCGACAATCGCGGGACCTCGAAAGGAGGTACTTTAGGAGAGTCTATACATGGTTTCTTCGTCAGTCCAGACATTGCATCCACCTTCCAGAGCATGTCAGACACCCTTCTTGACGGATTCATTCAACTCGTCAACTCCCTAATATCCACAGAATACCACTTTACATCTCGAGAAATTGTAGCCTTTCTTAATCACTGCACAACCCTCCAAGAACTTTTCAAACTGGATGGCAAGACTGTCAGTGCTCTCGAGGATGGTTGGGAACTTGTGGATGAGATGCCGATTGCAGGGCCACCGCGCAATATCACGCCACTCTCCCCTCTGGCTTACGAGTTTGGACGGTTCTTAGCCAGGAACCAAGATGCGCTGCTGAAGGGTGTGGGACTCCCTATCAATGGGCCTCATCGTGATGTCTGGCAGGATGATGTTGTTGCAGTCCTTAGACGGCACTGTCCTTATAGCTTGAGGCATGATTCGAGGCATGGTTTGAGTGACGATGCGATTTTAAATTTGCTGGATGCGACTAGAGCGCAGGGAAAGTTTTTTAGATGGTAAGTATCTATTTGATTTTTCGTTTGGGCTTTTGTATACAAATATTTGAAACTTACTAACGACTTTGTTTAGTTCCACCCCTGGCCAGCCCATACTTCGGCGCATCGATAACGGATGGCATATCGATCCGGCCTCGGAGTTACCGCAACTGTTTGCTGAGCAGAATGCAGAAAAGGAGTATTTTAAACCTCTCCGACAACTGTTCAGGAGCTTCACATTCAGGCAGGCGTTCAAAGATGCAGAGTCTAACAAGATCCCTGTAGATAATGTCGGAAGCTTATACGAGTACTTCGAGGATTGGTTATATATCCACCAAGGGACTTCGAGGACGGTATTGACCATTTCGATACACAGATTTTACTTGTTTTTAAGGTGGTGTAGTGAGAGGGGGGACATGTTTAGGTAAGTTACTCGGGTTACTCCTGGAGGGAAAGGGGGATATTGATGTGATTGTACTGAATTAATGCTGACATATAGCAGTTTGAGCAGGGATGGGAAAGTAAAGAAGATTTTGACGGGGTGGAATACGACGATGAAATGAATTTTGGGGCCTGTTTCGTGGTTGTTGAACCACAGGGGCCTTGGCCGTTCGTCAAAGTTTGGTTAGGTTCTTTTAAGCTTCTATTTCATGAATTATGTTGTGTGCGTCTTAGCTATTAAAACTATCTTGCAGTTAACTTTCATTGGTATACGAAGTGATAAGTGCTCAATACGGCGTACGATTCGTAGTTGAAATTATGATATAAAAAGAATACATGGGGAGAGTCCGGATTTGCCGCTACTGCATTAGGGGATTTACGACCCGACCCGGCCACATCCGCGCCCTGGTAGAGGCAGGGCCCGTGCTACCGTGTTGCATTGCAGAAATTTAGACCTCATCTCCCTTCACCTCCTTCTTCTGTTGGTGACTGTCTTCATTTTGTCAACTATCCACTATTAAGTATTAATAAGCTATATCAGCTATCAGCGATCACCTAACGACCAGCCAGAATTACCTCTCTCACCAGCTGTACCCGAAACTATGACATCGAAATCCGTGAGATCTCTCCACGAGTCCACGGGGATGCACTTCTCACCAGCTGGCTTGGCCGCTATACGAGATGTTTACGTTTGCGCTATTGCATAGGGAATGCAATCATCTTCTATCACCGTTTCCGTGGCGCAAGTCTAGAGTTAAGTTGGGGATCTTTAAGCTTCGATTCTACCACAGATTCCCAAAGAATCGTCACGACGTGCAGCATCCCCTTGAGTACCGGGCATTGGCGACCTAGGAATCTCACGTTGAAGCTTATCTCCGGGTATAGCTCTCCGATCTTACACACGATGCTGGTCAGGACTCACTGGGTCGGCAGTCAGCACGCGGCGTATATACTGGGTACCAGTGGCTCGGATCTGGTATCGCTCTCCCACGCGAGGACCATGTGTGCATAAAAGAATTTGTTTCTGCAAGGGCTAGTCGTCCCTAATTGGCAGAGTATCCTTATGGCTTCATTTTACGTTACCATACTCTTGAGTTGCTGCTACTTTAGGTGCCTATGGTAGCATCTAAAATGTCAGATTGCGGCAACGGCATCCACTTTGTCTTCCCATTCTGCACTTGTTGATTTTGTGATTCCATTGAGCCAATAGGTTTGTCAATTCTAAGCCGCAAGACGCCGCACGTTGTCCCAAGGCTTGAAACGCACCTGATAAGGATACGAAGTAGGTCACTTATCGTGACGCTAACCTTGTTTTCATTCTTCTGAGAGTTTACTTATCCTATTTTGTTTACGAGGAGCAGGCCTCCATCAAAACCCCAACTCTACTAGCTGTCATGCGATATTGAGCGTGCAAGTCCCTTTGTAGCTTAGAAATTGAAAGTATATAAAACCCTTCTATTTCCCTGGGCATTGACTCTTCAGCCAGCATCCACCTCGCCTGTTATATCGTCTTGGAAAACTTTGGATCTTCTTAACCACAAAATGACCATTCTCAAGAATCTAGCTGTTTTCCTTACGGCTCTATCAGCCTTTGCGGATGTCTCTGTAGGCACGCCCGTAGCCGCTCCTTTGGCTGAATCTCTCCCTCGAGCTACGTGTACCAACCCTGTTCTACGCAAAGAATGGAGTGCTGCTACAGCTGCAGAGCGGTCTTCCTACATCAGCGCCGTGCTCTGCCTGGCTACGAAGCCATCTCGAATCAATCTTAGTACTACTCTGTATGACGACTTCGTGTATGTCCACAATAGTTTGACCGATCGCAGTAAGTTTTAATAGTTTACCCATGATAATTCCCCAACTAAATTGTTTCATAGTTCATGGTGTTGCTCAATTCTTACCATGGCACCGCTATTTCATTCACGTGTACGAACAGGCATTAAAAGATTGTGGATATACAGGAGTTGCAATGTAAGAACTCCTCCCGAGGTCTTATCGCCAATACTTACAATAGCAAGGTACTGGAACTGGGCAGCCGATAGTGCGGCACCTTCTGCAGCCAAAGTCTGGAGCCCCGTGGACGGATTTGGCGGCAATGGCAACCAGAGCACCCCCGACGTTCCCTTCAGCAAATGTGTTACAGACGGTCCCTTCACGGGACTCACACTAGCGTACTACAACACTGAAGTCCGGCCGCATTGCCTTATGCGAGATTTCCAACCCGCACACCCCGAGGCCGGCCTTCAAGATATGATTGGGTTCCAATTTACGCCTGAAATCGTGGCTGAGGTTAGTGCTTACCCGGACTTTTCCTCCTTCCACGGTGCGCTTGAGAGCAGGCCACATGCTGTCGTCCATGCGGGGGTTTCTGGCGATATGGGGCCTGCGACGTCTCCTAATGGTAAGTACTCTTGACACTATTACATACATAGGGTACCGTAACTAAAGAAAATACAGACCCTATCTTCTTCCTTCATCACACAATGGTCGACCGCATCTGGTGGTTATGGCAGCAACAAAACCCTTCAGTTAGAACAAATGACTTTTCTGGGACAGAATATGCAGGTGTTGCCGCTACGTTGGATGATCTTATGCCAATGATGGGGATTGCGACAGATCGAAAGGTTGGAGACTTTATGTCTACGTCAACGACAGATTTATGCTACAAGTATTGATGTCACAAAAGTGGAAATTTTGGGGGAATGCGGAGAAATGCGAGCCTGATATATTGAGACTGAAATGTTGGATACGGGGAGTTTTATGGCGTAATGATAAGGAATGAGAATAATATATTTTGTGATAAGGCCATGACGCAGAAAATAACCCGCTTCAGAGGTTGCCTCCCGGATGATCTAGTTTAATAGTCTAGCGGAATACGGCTATGATATTTTGGTAGGGCTTGGGGTTTAACCTCTCAGAGCGCCATGGAAGTCGGCCAGTCAGCCAACAAGGATAATCAACAGACCCATCCCCGAATTATATTCCGACCATCCAAAGCCTCACAGTTTACTCCCAGTCCACTTTGGCGCCCTCTTCTCCTTAAAAGCCTTCATGCCTTCCAGCGCATTTTCCCCGCTCATAAGCGCTTTCGCATACTTCTCACTAATAATACTCGTCGACTGGTCGACACTAGCCGTCTCCCACGCCTGTCTAACCCCCGCCCGGCTAACAATTAGACTATCAGGACTGAAGCCAGCCATCAAATTCGCCATTTTAACCGCCTCTCTAACCACATCCTCTTCACCAACAACCTGAGCAACCAATCCCCACTCCTTGGCCTCTACCGCCCCAAGCGTATAAGCCGTCAACGCTAATAACATCGCCCTCTGAAGGCCAAACGTCCTACAAATCCTTGGAAATGCACCTTCCAGTGCTGCGGTTCCGCGCATTACGTCGGGCAGACGGAAAGTTGCGTTGCGGGAGGCCAGAACGATGTCAGAGTTGAGGGCTATTTCAAACCCGCCGCCGTGAGCGTGCCCGTTTACTGCGGCGATGATAGGCTTCTTGCCTACCCGGCGAGTGAGGCCAGCAAAGCCGGTAGGTGGATAGTGGGTTAAGTCGGGGGATGAGTTGGTGGAGTTGGGTGCTTGGTGCTCTGTGATAGAGTTAGTCGCTAGTTAGGGGATGGGAGGGGAGTAACAGAAATTCTAGATATATATAAAATATACATCGTATATGTTACTCGAAGAAATATAGACGTACCTTTTAGATCCATCCCCGCTGAAAACGCCTTATTCCCGGCTCCGGTTACAATTCCTACACGCCTGAACAATAATTACCACGTGATTCTGCTATCTAGGTTTCAACCGCTGGCTGCCTCTTGGTGTAGGTATAATGAAGGAAAGGAACTTACAACTCATCCTCTGCATCAAACCACTTCCATACCCGATCCATTTCCCAGCATGCCGCCACGGGAAGAGAGTTCATCTGCTTGGCGAGGTTGATCGTCACGAGTAGGACGTGGGGAGCGGGGAACGTGAGAAGCACATATCGGACTTCTGGGGGAGCTGTTGTGAAACTTGAACGAGCCATTGTATGATGGGTTCTAGGTCGGATATCTGGAGTGCCGCTGCTTGCACTCGGAGTATCACCACCTTTGTTGGATTTGGATTGTCGGAGAAGCGACAGTGGCAACACAATTAAACTCCAATAACGGAAACACGGCGAGCGCCCTGAGGCAAAGGCACACTCCTTCAATCTTAAAAGCACAGATGCTATTTGTTGTAATAAAGTAAATGGTGCTTGTTTGCTAGCAGATGTGACGTTGATGCACCACGTGATGACAGACCTCGGTACGAATTCCGCGGGGTACTCGGCTACCAGTATTTTACCCCTGAGTAACAACAACCTACACGTACTTCCAAAATCAACATCAAAATCCCCAAGGTATCATCATCAGCTCTCCAGAAACAATTCGTAACTCTTCACGGTCAACACCTGAGACAAACCCCCAATAACTACTATCGAAAAGACATTTATCACATCACGACCGCCAACCATGCCACCACCACCCTTCCAAACCCCTCCCCCAACCTCTCCCAGTTTCCTCCTAACCTACCCTTCTCCACAAATCCTCCTAATAACTATCAACCGGCCCTCTGCCATGAACTCCCTCCCGGCAGCTGCACACTGGGAAGCGTCTTTAATCCTAGCCTGGTTCGACGCCGAGCCCAACCTACGGGTAGCTGTCATCACGGGGGCAGGAAAGAAGGCCTTCTGCGCAGGTCAAGATCTAATCGAGCAGGCGAAGTTCGCCGTGTCTCCACCACCTATGTCAGCTCGGCGGCATCCGTCTTCAGGATTTTGTGGGATTAGTCGGAGAGTGGGGAAGAAACCTGTTATTGCTGCTGTGAATGGATTTGCGCTTGGTGGGGGTTTCGAGATATGCTTAAATTGGTATGTTGCGTTATTTCATTTTATATAACACTCTCTTGTGGGATGGTTTATGGTAATCTCGCTCAATCCAAGTTGACTCGCCTTCCGGAATGAGTATTGATCAGCATTTGGATTTAAAAACGACAAGTGGCATGTGACTTGAAAGTGTCATATATGGATTTTACGTATATTTATGCATGTTAACGGTAAATCAACAGTGACATGGTAGTAGCCTCGCCAACTGCTGCCTTCGGCCTCCCTGAAGCAACCGTAGGCCTCTACGCCGCAGCTGGTGGACTCCCCCGCGTCGTCCGTAACTGCGGCATGCAAATAGCATCCGAGTTAGCTCTCACAGGCCGGCGTCTCACAGCGCAAGAAGCACTCAATTTCAACCTCATCAACAAGATTTCCGCCAGCCAGGAATCAGTTGTTGAAGAGAGCATAGACATGGCGAAGAAGATCGTTGCACTTTCCCCTGATGCGGTACTTGTTACGAGGGCGGCACTGAGGCAGGCGTGGGAGACGGGGAGTGTGGAGAGATCTACACAGTTAACTGCTGAGAGGTACGAGGCCCTGCTGTTTGAGGGGGAGAATATGAAGATTGGTTTGAAAGCTTTTAAAAATAAGGAGAAACCGCAGTGGGTGCCAAGTAAGATTTAATTTTTATTGGAGAAAATAAATTTACGAATCAGAAAGTGGAAAACAAAGCATGTTACATAATGCAAGTAGTCTTTCTTAAACAAGTCCCAATGCCCCTAACAAGAGTGAAGGAACTGATAATATGGCATTGGCGAGCACTAGCATATTTTGATGGAGGTGTTACTTTGCCGGAGGTTTTTAATTTGTATACCACATTCAACCTTCAAATTATGAGATGCGTTATATATGCGTGTGTGTCTGGTTTCTAGAACTCGGCAATTCAAATACAGTCGAGATGAACATATGCCACTCGTAAGTCCCAGCAGAAATGCTTGTGTAACAAGGTAATCGAGCCGTTGTAGCTGAGACAGTTGAAGGAAACTCATCCTGCCCCTGGAACTTTCTATGCGTATGGTTTTGCGAAAGCTGAAAAACATTTTACGAACTTCCAATTCAAATCCCTGGAGGGCAAAATCCAGCTGAGCATCCTTGCTGACAGCCAACAGTTGAAAACCGTTGCCCACATGTTGGCCCTACTCGGTAAGTAAGCTCCGATGGTCCTTTATTGGATGAGGGCGATCGCCCTCCCATTACTTGGTATCTCACATTTTCCCACAATATTGGGGACGATGATCTCCCGTATGACAGCGTAGTCCAGACAAACAACCTGCAGCCCCATATTTCTTTTTGGATTTTGCGGAGAGTCGATAGTATCAATGAGAGAAATTAAATAGCATAGTATCTAATATCTTAAAATTGAAATGTTACCTATGTCGAGCACAGAAAGGAATTATCCGAACAGATGAAAATATGTCCACAACCCTCCTTCCCTATATGCACCTCGGGGATTCTATCATAGGCTGAACCATGTTGGAGTAGGAGGATATAATATACCAAGAGTAAATATGGGGTCGTGACGGATTCTATTTGGTATTGTGCGAGCTCAATAGATTAGCGACATGGGCCGATCAAATCTGATTTGATTAGCCTCATCTAAGTTGCACAAAGTGTCGCGTGGAAACGTGTACGCCGCATCCTTCTGACAACATTGGAGAAGAGATCCCACTTAAGGGTGCATGCGCGCCTGTTCTAAAAGAAGACGTTCACCCAGCCATTGTTGTTATCACTGTTACCATCGCTTGGGTAGGTATGCAGATATAAATGAGGAAATTCCGACGACGCCGCTCGATTAACTTGGGGTCCGTTTTCTACCCAAACAGTTTTAATTCCCGTATAATATATCTATTACAAGAGGAAGGAAGTACGGTCGAGCCTGGGCGGTGTATGCAGTATCTATGGGGGTATTGCTGTTTGAAGGAATTCAAATATTGGTACATTGGACGGATTGTACTCGCAGAACGTAGCGGTGGTAATTGATGCTGAGACTGCTACTCGCAGATGCACCAAGCCAGCCAGACACACGAAGGAGCGTTGTTGAGCTGGAGAGTCAATTGTAACACCTTCGGCACCAAGGATCGGATTCCCGGAGATTGACTAGAATACTCGAATGGTTGAATACTTTATAGTGGTTGGGATAGAAACGGTATATTATTGAGGAACGATTCGGATGTAGAAATTTACTACGTATATATTAATAGACCAAACTTCCCTCAACTTTAATGACAGGTCGCAACTCGAAGAGAGTCAATTTGAGGCACCTTGAGACAACTTCCTTCATACCAAAGAGACCAGGTCGATCTCGACTGCAAATCCAAGCGGTCTTCAGTCGAAATGTCTGACACAGGAGTAAATGGTTCGGTAACAAGGTAAGCTGGTATTCAACATCGCCGCTATACGTTAGGTCCCCTGGACTAAAGCAATTCCATTTCAATGCAGCGTCGACAACCAAATACGGAGCCTCAAACAAAATGCTACAGCGCTTCAGCCTCAAGCCATGCATGGCGTGCTTGAGGCTTATCTGGAAAGCCCTCAATCTCGTGAGCAAATGGTGGCTGGGCATGGAACTGCCGATGCCGAGGAGGCTATTCGACACCACCGTAGGGAAATGGCGGAGTACATCTTGAAGATGGAAAAGATGCTACCGAGGTAGACGGTGCAAAGGGGAATGTGAGAGGAGAGAGACGATGTGACCTCTTGCGAGTTTGACATGGGCAAGTATATAAGAGTGTTTTGATACTTAGAATGATGGGGCCCGTCTTCTATAAGAGGGTAGGAGGAACTATTCAAGTACGGCGGTGAATGTTATAAGCGTGCAAGCGCGTTAACTGCGTCATTTAGAGAATAAAAATATTATGGCTGCCCGTATCCAATGCGCATTGAAGCAAAGCACTTGTTCGCAGTTATGCTTGAATTTGGATAGTCACAAGCACTTGCTGTTACATTCAGGTCTGCTTGAATATGTCAGCGAGTGTCATTATTTTGCTTCCTTAGAACTAGGTAGGCTTCGTCCTAGGACTGAAATTTGACATAGCTCTCCACAATCTCTGCTGCAGAGCTGTCCGTTTCCGTTCAATCACAAAAGTTTCAGGGTCTTGACTTCACTCCATGAATCTCCTTGGCAGTTCTAACTTCAACTTCTCCGTCCTCCATACCGAAGTATGCTGCCACAGGCTTTTGCCCGCCACCCTCTTCCCCAGCGTTGGCGACCTGAATACCATTCCTGCCGTAGAAAAGACCCACTTCTAGGACACCGACAATTCGTTTCAATCTTCGTCCCAACTGATGTACCTCCCAGATGCCATGTTCTCCATCTCCCTTGTGCCCGTCCTTGAGATCAGAGGGCAAAAGTAAAGGTGGAAACGGGGCATCCATTATCCACATCCCGTTATCTGTGACCACAGGGCCGGCTTTTGCGCTCCCACCTTGCCGAATTACAGGGTCCGGAGAGCCAAGGGTGATAAGGATTCGTTTTATAGTTGGGGCAGCTAGGGGCGCAATCTCGATTGGAATGGCCTTCCACTTAGTTAATAGTCGCGGCTGAAGTTTGCGAGAATCTATGCATTTGTGAGGTGAAATTCTCATTCCAGAAAATAGGTAGATAATTACCTGCCACACAGACAAACTTCCTCGCTGCCGTCGCCACAAGCTTTTCCTGGAACAGACACGCACCCCCTCCTTTAATGCAATTAAGGTCTTCATCTATCTCATCAGCACCATCGAAAGCCACGTCAAGGCATTGGCGCATTCCCTTCAAGCCTAGATCCGTCACACCAGTGGCCACTTCGAGGGCCGAAACGCCGTCCATCTTCGTGTAAGTCGAGTCAACCGGGGGTAGCGAATCAATACCGCCCAATGGAAGGCCAGCTTCAATAATCAATTGCTTGCTTTGATCGCCTGTTGGAATGAAGATCATTTTAGAAGTAATGTCCCGTCCTTTGGCAGCAATTGCCTCGACAACATAGACGACCGTGCTCCCAGAACCAATGCCAATATATTTGTAGGATACATCAAAGTGGTCCTCTACCGCTTTGTAAGCAGCTCGCCGTTTCGAAGCTTCGACCGGAGGGAGTGGCTTGAGCACGTTGATTGGAGGTGCGGCATTTTGAGATGCAGGAACAGCTGGATCTGAAGCCGCCATTGAGTATGCTTTTCGGGGGATTCGAGGTTCTCCAAGGCGTAACTGGGATATCTGAGAGGGTGAACCGGACCTAAAGGAAGTCTGAGCCTCTTGAAGCTATAGAGAGGTTGGATGTTGTCTATACCACGGAACCCTAGTGAAGGAGCAGAGAGTGCGAGCTGGCGATCTAATAGGGCTGGCGATAACCCTTAACGGCTTCAAGGTCTGCGTCTTTGCAGAAAATTTGAGATATCTTAGTCGTAAGCAAGGTCGAGAGATCAATTCCATGGAATTAGGTTTGAGGGATAATTGATGTTTACGAAGTAGTGGGGGGTTGAGATCATCGCGGGGCTTTCGGCTGAATCTAGCGCCTTGTATGGTGCTAACTGGCCGAGGTTAGCTCTTAGTATACGGTCACGTGTCATCTTGATCACGTGGAGATAAAGCTCTTGATCGCTTATCTCAAGGCCGCAACAGAGCGTAGTTGGTATGACCGGTCACAGCAGCTGGAATGGCCCTTAACAAGGACTAAACAGGGTCTAGCTATAGGCCATACGAGCTTTGCACCTAAACGCGCACAGTGGCTGGCCAGCCCCCTAGATTTAAACCCGGGCGCGCCTGGTCGAACCCTAACATAGTAGTCCTACTAGTAGGGGCACCCTAGTTAATGGCCGTGCAAATAAGGACCTGAGATGACCCTCTAAGAGAACATTTAAACAGCATTTGAATAATGTTTGAATAACGTTTGTCAAGTGTTTTAAAAAAGATTTGTATTCGAAGCTCGGTAATTTAAGAAAAGTGAAATTAATGTCATTTAACTTCAGAATAACCGTGCGCGATTAACGTGTGTGTTTCGCGACAAGAGCAATTAAAGCTTTGTATTAAATATGCCTTCGTCTGTTGTATATACTATTAATCTCTATTATATGACCAACTTTTCTTATATAAAGCTTTAATTTCTAGCTATGTCGAATACTGCTGCCCCTATACCTGAGGAGCTTCTCCGCAATTCAAGTCTCTCCCTAGATGATAAACAATATCTTTACCAGGAAGCTGAAACGAAGTATCCTGTTATTCCCCTCCCAGATGTTCTGTTGTTTCCAGACAATTCATTCTCTGTACGTATACACTTGCCAAATACTTGCTAAATACTTGCCAAATACTTGCCAAATACTTGCCAAATACTTATCAAATATTTGCTAATTACTTATAGGAGCCTACTACTTCTATGCAAGATAATGAAAATATCCCAAAAATCTTTACCAATCCTAGTTTGGATGGGCTACGAGTCTCTGAACTTTTCTATGGCACCCGTCTACCTTGGTATCCAAAAACATCAAAGTCCGGCGTAGGCTATTGTCTCTCTGCCCTTGGGTATCTAGAGTCACTAGATCTAACAATTAAAACATTAATGTACAATGTAAGTTACATAGAAATTGTTTACAAAATGTATAAATATTAATATTATATAGGTCCAGTATAGTTATTCATCAACATATCAACCGCATAATAAACTAACTCGATCCGAATTCCTAAATAATGTCCCATGTATTCGAACTACGTTCCGCTGCTCAGGAGTTAAAGTATGTACCYATCATCACGAGTCTCTTTTAGACCCGCATACGGAATGGGATATAGATGCTTGGGATAGAAAAGCAGAGCGAATGTCTGCTGTACAACGGCTATTTATGGAGGAATATCACCCTGTTGATACATACAAACCGACTCTTGAGTAAAGTGTTTACCTTCTACTTTGAAATTGTTTTCTAATTATGTAGTCTATATAATGCAGTTATGCGGGATTTCAAGAGTCCACACCGGAACGGCTGTCCATTTTCAAGTTACTATAATGATACTGGACTTAGTCGACCTTGTAGCGGTTTGCCTGTTGTACGAGAGTCTGAAYATAGGGTATAGTCTTTCCAAATAATTATAAAACGTTTACTAATTATTTAATTAATAGGATTTAAATGGAAACAAAAAGTATTATATTACCTGCAATCAGGCGACATATGCAAAGAAGGCGCACCACTACTACTACTCCATCCCTACCAACGCTCATATACACCTTGCACATCTAGCCCAGCTATTAGAGTATGGCTACGATGGAGTACAAGAGAAGTGTTTTCGCACGCTCCCTCAAACATCACGAAGACGTCTTTGTGGTACGTATCTAGTATTATATAAATATTCTTCAAATGTTTTTCAAATACTTGTTAAATACTTGTTAAATAATTGCCAAATACTAACAATATTTATAGGAGTTCCGCATGATCAAAGTTCCCAGCTAATAAAGAAGATTCCATGTTCAGTCAAGTTCAACATGTTAATCCCAGTCGACTTAAAGAAGACACCGATTATTCTATTTTCCTCACATGGAATTCATTCTCATAACCCTCCTCCTCCTAATCAAACTCCCCAAGAAATTGGCGAGCTCGTTATCAAAGAGATCCAGAGGCATATTAAAGTCGGAGCTATAGCAGGTATATAATATACTTTACTTCTGTTTTTGAGACGTTTATTAACTATTTTAAGGGACTCCTGTTCATATTATTCCACCTAATGGCCATCGGCTATTTAGTCTATATATAGACCTCAAGAAGAAAGATCCACACGCTGATATTTGCACTCTTGACCCTACACTATTTAATACTAGTCGGTTTGCAGCTCTACGTCGGGCGCAGATCTACTTACAATATCCAGACGGTACTGACTGGGAAGGTTAGTCTTCTGTAAATATTTTTTTAATATTTTCTAAACGTATATAGGTGTTTGGAGTTACTATATCTCGTATCACCAAGGACAAAGTAGGAAGATCCCATATATTCGGAATATGGTACATAACGGCGATATTGGAACTATTTCCTGCGCATTTACAAAGCAAATCGAATGTATGGCTACCTGTAATACTATACAAATCGACATGTCATATAAACGGGTTCATGGGCAGTTTAATGAAATTCTTATTGGACAGTTTATGCAAGAGTTTCAACGGTGTAAGTAAATACTCTGCAAACGTTTTACAACTATTATCTAATTATTTAAGTAATGTGTTTTGGTCGAGTTTATACCAATAAGCAGTCAATCTGGGCATACTATAAGGCGTTTATGGAGTTCTTCTCAGTAGCAGATAATATACTTTCGCAAGCCGAGCCTAGAAAAGGGCTACAGTGGCACCACATACATGGCCAGGGTATCAAGGCTATTGTAGTAGATATGTGTCCTGCCCAAGCTCATGGTAAGTTTTTTAATTACTTCTCAAACACTTATCAAGTACTTGGTAAATACTTATCAAATACTTACTAACTGTCTTAGCATTGGGTCTTTACTTTTGGACAATTGATCCTGAATTCCCAAAGAGACCTTGGCAGTGGCACGTCGAGCGGACTCTTATTTACTGTACAACTCATTTCTTCCGTGGTCTTGAAGCGCGCTTTCCATCTGGCTCTGCATGGGGCGAGGTTATGCGTGAGCTATTGAACGTTAATAGCGAAGAAATGTTTAATACAATTCTAGATGAAGTTGATAAGAATTTGTAAGTACTCTCCCTTTAAGTTATATTCGTATATAATTCGTTTTATATATTATTTCTAATTCTTATTCTTATAGCCCTAATGAAGCAGCATATACAGCTCATAAACGGGTCCCGTGGATTAAGTCAGGTCTTAATCCTCTCTTTTGGAAAGGGGATAAAGACGTTTGGAATAACTGTACTCGAACAAACCAGTCTCTTGATTCGTTAATGTCGATGTCAAATCGAACTGGGAGGGGGCAAGYACTTCTACTAGCAATTCTAAAGTATGTACTTTGTAATTGAGTTCGAATCGTTTTCTAATTATATATTAGGGGCATCAACTTAGACAAAAAGCTAGTAGAATATATTGACCAATATAAACGCTATGGTATTCAGTCTTCATATACCCCTCCAAATCCCGTAAATGCGATCTACGATAAAATCAGTAAGTGGAGTTATACTAAACGATTATTAAATCAACTTGAATTCGTTTATAAAATGACTTTAGTCTATATACTAATAAATATATAGAAAGATTAGAGAAAAGGCGGCTCAAGTTTATAACTCCTTCAACAGACCCTGATAATTCTGATCAGGTCCCAGAAGTATATGAGCCACAGCCAGTAGTATCAAGTAGCGGAGGGACGAAGCGTGTAAAGCGTATAGGAAAGGAGCTGGCTCAGGATAGACTAACAAAGTCTAATAATTACGAAGAAGTCAATTGGGAAACGAAGAAGAAACGGGAAGAATGGGAACTTGAGAAACAGGCAAGGGTAGCACGCGAGCGTCATGMGACAAAAATGAGTAACCTTCAAGTCCAGCAACTAGAAGCGGAAGTAAGGATTAAACAGCTTCAGGCTAGAAAGCTTGAGAATGAACTACTTAATGTTGAGATATTACCTACGCCTTTTAGTAGATAGATAGAATCATCTTTTAATTAGTTGCAAAACATATATTGAATATATATATAATAATAAAAACTAAAATTCCAAATACTAGAAAAGAAAAGTACTAAAGAAATAATAATAAGACTAAACAGCTAGTCGTCCTCTGGCTGGATAAAATGTTGGATAATCTTGCAGTTAGACTTTTCCCAATTATCTGCAAGTATATCCGGACATTTACGCTCTAGTAGGATATTAATTAGAATTTGTTTTTAATTCGTTTTATATATACTTACTATCTGAGCGGCATAAATCACATCGACCATTATTTCTAATCTTATATAGGTGTTGGACCTGTACTCGCATTGCATTTATATTTGGCTTCTAAATATTATTAGTATAGTTTTAGAATTTTAGAGTTTTATATACCCCGTTTAAAAGAGGACAGTCCCGTATCTGAATAGAGTTGTCTGTATCGTCTTGCGCTTCTGGGCTAGCTGGTAAGCTATTTTGTTTTTGAATTCGGGCTTTTTTTGTAGC